AGGAGGAGATTGCTCCCCTCAACGACCGCCTCAAGGGCATGGTCGACTTGGAGAAGGTCGTCGTCGTTACCGGTTTCGCTGAGGTCGGTCCTTGGGGTAACTCCCGTACCCGTTGGGAGATGGAGGCTCACGGCGAGTTCTCTCTAGAGGGTTGCGTTGAGATGGCCTGGATCATGGGTCTGATCAAGAACCACAACGGTCCCATCAAGGGCAAGCCTGCTCCTTACTCTGGCTGGGTCGACTCCAAGACTGGCGAGCCCGTCGATGACAAGGACATTAAGCAGAAGTACGAGAAGTTCATCCTCGAGCACTCGGGTATCCGTCTGATTGAGCCTGAGCTCTTCGGTGGTTACGACCCCGAGCAGAAGCAGCTTCTTCACGAGGTTGTCATCGAGGAGGACCTCGAGCCCTTCGAGGCGTCCAAGGAGACTGCTGAGGAGTTCAAGCGTGAGCACGGCGACAAGGTTGAGATCTTCGAGATCCCCGAGTCTGGCGAGTACATCGTCCGCATGAAGAAGGGAGCTGCTCTGTTGATCCCCAAGGCTCTTCGCTTCGACAGACTCGTTGCTGGCCAGATCCCCACCGGCTGGGACGCCAAGAGATACGGTGTTCCCGAGGACATTGTCTCCCAGGTCGACCCCGTCACTCTCTTCGTTCTCGTCTCCGTTGCCGAGACTCTTCTGTCGGCCGGTATCACCGACCCCTACGAGTTCTACAAGTACGTCCACGTTTCCGAGGTGGGCAACTGTATCGGATCCGGTATGGGAGGTGCTGGCGCTCTCCGTGGCATGCACAGAGACCGCTACCTCGACAAGCCTGTCCAGAACGACATTCTCCAGGAGTCCTTCATCAACACCATGGCCGCCTGGGTTAACATGTTGTTGATCTCTTCCTCCGGCCCTATCAAGACCCCTGTCGGTGCTTGCGCCACTGCTGTCGAGTCCGTCGACATTGGTTACGAGACCATCATGGAGGGCAAGGCTCGTATCGTCTTTGTTGGTGGTTTCGATGACTTCGGTGAAGAGGGCTCTTACGAGTTCGCCAACATGAAGGCCACCAGCAATGCTGTCGACGAGATTGCTCACGGCCGTACCCCCGGCGAGATGTCGCGTCCCACCACCACCACCCGTAACGGATTCATGGAGTCCCAGGGTTGCGGTGTCCAGCTCATCATGACCGCCAAGCTCGCCCTTGACATGGGTATGCCCATTCACGGTATCCTGGCTTTGACTACCACTGCCACCGACAAGATTGGCCGATCCGTTCCCGCTCCTGGCCAGGGTGTCTTGACCACCGCTCGCGAGCACGCCGGCAAGTTCCCCTCGCCTCTGCTCGACATCAACTACCGTCGCCGCCAGATCGAGCTTCGCAAGAAGCAGATCAAGCAGTGGCAGGAGTCTGAGCTCGAGTACCTCTACGACGAGGTCGAGGCCATCAAGGCTCAGGGCCAGGAGGTCAACGAGAAGGAGTACGCTCACGACCGCGCCGAGCACATCAAGAAGGAGGCTGAGCGCCAGGAGAAGGATGTCCTCCGCAGCCTCGGCAACAACTTCTGGAAGAACAACCCGGAGATTGCTCCCCTTCGTGGTGCCCTCGCCACCTGGGGTCTCACCATCGACGACCTCGAGGTTGCCTCTTTCCACGGAACCTCTACCAAGGCCAACGACAAGAACGAGTCTTCCGTCATCTGCCAGCAGCTCCGCCACCTTGGCCGCAAGCCGGGCAATGCTGTCATGGGTATCTTCCAGAAGTACCTCACTGGTCACCCCAAGGGTGCTGCCGGTGCCTGGATGATGAACGGCTGCTTGCAGGTGCTCAACACCGGTTTGGTCCCCGGCAACCGCAACGCCGACAACGTCGACCCCATCATGGAGCAGTTCGACATGATTGTCTACCCCAGCCGCACCATCCAGACCGATGGTATCAAGGCTTTCTCCGTCACCTCGTTCGGTTTCGGTCAGAAGGGTGCCCAGGCTATCGGTGTCCACCCCAAGTACCTCTTCGCTACACTTGACGAGAAGACGTACGAGGCGTACTCTGCCAAGGTCAACGCTCGCCAGAAGAAGGCTTACAGCTTCTTCCACAAGGGCCTGGTCAACAACACGCTCTTCGTGCCCAAGTCCAACGCTCCTTACACCGACGAGCAGCTCAGCAAGGTTCTCCTGAACCCCGATGCTCGCGTCACCGAGGACAAGAAGACCTCTACCATTTCTTACCCCTCCAACTTCATGAAGGCGTCTGAGAAGACTGTCACCTCCACGGCGGCCAAGGCCACCCAGGACATGATGGAGGGTCTGGCCAAGAAGGTCGCCAACAAGAACAGCAACGTCGGTGTTGACGTTGAGGACATTTCCGCCATCAACATTGAAAACGAGACGTTCATCGAGCGCAACTTCACGGCCGGTGAGATCAAGTACTGCCAGTCCGCGCCCAGCCCTCAAAGCTCGTTCGCTGGCCGGTGGAGCGCAAAGGAGGCCGTCTTCAAGTCTCTTGGCGTCTCCAGCAAGGGTGCCGGTGCGCCGTTGAAGGACATTGAGATTGCCAAGGATGAGTCAGGCGCCCCGACTGTCAAGGTAAGCTTATTCCCCATGTCAAAGTATGTTGAAACTATTTACTAATTTGATGATAGCTCCACGGTGAAGCTGCTGCTGCTGCCAAGAAGGTCGGCCTTTCAGACATCAGCGTCTCCATCTCACACTCTGAGACGCAAGCGATTGCGGTGGCCGTTGCAAACTTTTAAAAAGCGGGTAGACTGTACAATGCATTTCTAGTTCATGGGATATAGGCAGGCATGGGATCTTGCTTGTTCACTTTGGTCGTTTTTTGACATCATACAAGCCTGGGAGTATAGATTGCGGGTACACTTTGGGAGGAGTGTATTCGCATGATCATCATCGTCGGATGAATTGACGAGTAATGCACGAGTTGGGAACGGCGCAACAACGATGGAAGCTAGTTCCTCGATGCCACAATAGAATCTGTATCAACCATTTGTGTTTTGAATGTGACTTGATGCTAGGTGTAGCCTGTGACGTGAATTCAATCCAACCAGCTTAACCTTTTGAGCGTAGCGACTAACAGTTCTACCCTGCCTTGTACATGCTTATCGGGTTATCACAGAGGCGCAGATGTACTCCCTTTTCCCACCTGTTCGGGCGAAAAGGCGATCAGGATGCCAGGAATGCAACGTGATCCTGGTTCCGTTACATGGGAATCAACGACGCCCGTCTGATGAATGAGACGAACTGGTTAGGTGTGGGGGGTTATCGCATTTCACAGCTACGGGTATCGATTGGGCTGGCATGTACTAAGGAGGGGAAAAGGAGAGACGGAACTTGGTTCCAGGGGCGATATGGATAATGAGGTTGTTGGTTAGGGATTGCGGTGAAGGGATTCTGCGAGTGATGAAGGAAGGGGGTTCGGATTTTACGTGCTGCTGGTCGCGAGTGCGCTGGCGCTGGGACATTTCAGGAGGTTCGGACCAAGGGCTGAGCCGTCGCAGATTTTCAGGTTTGGAGGATGTTGGGCGGGCACGGCGGTAGGGCAGGAGGCGGCTTAGATGTGCAGCGTCTGGTGTTTGACGCGTTGATGGGTGCTTATCAATGGATGAATCAAATGATTGATTGATGAATGGGAATGAAAGGATGAGTCGAAACGCTGTTCAGGAAGGAAACGACATATTTTTATAGCTTGCGCGTTCTTTTGTATTCGCGGTCTCGTTTCGTTTCGGTGCACTGTTCTTCTATGTTTCTTGTTCCATGTCGTCTTTCCTTGCCCTGATTCTCTCGTGGAGAGAGGGGAGGGAGGTTCGTCTGATGTGAAGATGTTTTGTTTTTCTTCGCTTTCCTGGGACTGACAGCGCTTGACAGGAGAAACATGCCAGAACATGGGCCAAATAAAGAACATGTCTTTTTTTTTTCTCGTATGCTTTAGGGGATACGATTTAGAATAGGGGCCAACTGGGGCATTTTTTTGCATTGAATCCCGCGACAAGGAGGAACTCTGGCTAATGACTATCTGAAACTCGTGTAAACCTGTTGAACTCCAATCGTTCTCGCCGCCTCCGAGGAGCGTTAATACACACGCGCAGGAGGATAGGATTCCAAGCTGGTTGCCCCCACTGGATCGCTCCTGCCGGCACCCGGCTCTAATCCCGGTTCATTGATCGACGAGCTTGGTGCAAGTTGAGTTGGTGGTGCGTCTGGGCTTTTGCACTGCCGCGATGACTGGGAGGGGGGTTGTGGAAGGGATTAAAGGAGCATAAATCAGGAATCAACCAGTTAGATCCTGCAGGAAAGGTAGAGGCCCCTCTGCATGTTGGGAATGAAGGTGGTTTATGCATCGATGCATCCCTTTCTTTTTTTTAAGTGCGTTTTCTGTCTGTCGATCATCCGTCATTCTGGAGTCCTAGGCGTGTGGTCGAGGACCGCGACCGAGCGTCGTTCAGCCGACTGCGATCAGACTTCCCTTCCCTGCTCTTAGGTAGATTTCTCCAAGAGCTGTTATTGCGCTGGGTGCTTTTCCATGTGTGTGTGCCTTTTTATTGTGGCGCAGGCCTTGCAGTTTGTTTGGATCTTGATCACAATCTCCTATGGTTGGGGCCGTTGTCATGCAAGACCACGGACTGGGCGTGTTTGAAGGAGGGAGCTTGAACACCTCCTTTATTACGTGGGCTTGCTGGAAGAGGAGGGATGGGGTATAAGGGAAACGGACGTCCCCCATCGTGCGCGCAGATAGCATTACGTGTTTGGTTTTTGGTTGTATGTTTATGAACCATCATTCACCTTCGTTTGTGTCTGTTTTTGGCTGGTTTCGACGTTTTGAGTGTTTAATACCTACACCTTCACAATTTGAACAGCTGCACGAGTGAAGCTATCCCGAACATTTAAATTCCACATCTGTGAGAACCCACAGCTACACACCAGGTCATTTCGCCAGAAGCAAGGTTTTAGGGAAGAAATAGGAACTATTCTACGATACCGAGAAAGCACAAAACGAAAATGACGGGCTCAAACAACATCAGAGGCCTCATGGGCAAAAGCGCCCCGCCAACACCAACCTTCTTCTCCATCGTCCGCATCGCCGTCCTCGTCCTCTCGCTCGCCGTCCTCGCCGCGTGCGCGTACTGTTTGTCGCTGCTGGGCTCTTACTCGAGCAGCTATACCGGCCCGCCTGGCTTCATGCTTTTTGTTGTAAGTTTACCATTTCCCCTCCCTACTACCCCTTTCCACCCTCCAACCTTCAGCCCAACGACGACCAGACATGTCACAAATCAGGTAAGTCGCTTTACTGACCGCACTCAACGTTATCAGTCCCTCTTCACCCTCCTCATCCTAGGCGGCGCCATGATGGTCGAGCACTTCGCAGCACACCTCTACTTCCGCATCGCCGTCCTCATCGGCTACGGCACGAATTGCCTGTTTTGGCTGTCGGGCTGGGCGTGGTCTGCGAGTATTGCGGCGTTGTTTTTGGGAGACACGTGTGTTCAGGGGACGTGTTTTGGGCCGACTACGGAGGAGAAGAGGTATGGGGGTAGTATGGCTGGTGCTGCTGCCGTTGGGGCAGTGAACTGGTAAGTCTTTCCTTGCGTCCTTGGTTGTGGATTGTGCTGTGGTGTTTGATGATTGATTTGCTGACGAGATGGGTTTAGGGTTCTGATGACGATTGTGCTGTTTTATTACATCAAGGGATGTCTTTCTGACCCGGATTGCTATGGTGTCTCGACGGGCCATGGGTCGGAGATGGGGAGTGTGAAGGCTGAGAGCAAGACGCGGTCTCGGCCTTCTGTCAACGAGCAGTGAGCTTGGGCGGTCTGCAAGTAACAAGTTGCAAAGCAGCTTGACGAAGTTCGAGTTGGATAATCATGGGAAGGGGAAGATTCGCGATAATCTTTGCTCGAATTGGATCTGGACTTGGTAATGAACGGAGTTCTTTGGTTTGTTTAGATGGAAGAAATTACACGACTGCTGTTCCTGCCGGGTTCTTCTCAGACGGTTCCGGAGAGGAGGTTATGATCTGAGATTTCAATGGTTTGATGAGAGATACCACTGGCTATCATTAGTAGCTAATTTTATTTGCGTGAACTCCTACGGTTGCGAATTTGAACGTGAGATTCTTCCCTTGAGCCTGCTTTCCATCTGCGTTCCTCTTTCCAAGGGGTTTCCAGATAGGCGGTTCGAACGAACTGTTCCCAGCCGGACACGCTTCCAACCTTGGGCACTACCTACGCCTGGCCTCCTTCCTATTTGTCTTTAAGTCCCTCTTGAGACCGGAAGGCTTCTTTTGCATGACATGTTTCATCGAAAGCTGGTTCTCACTCTGCTACAAAGCCCACGGCAATATTACTGGAAGTGGTCGGCTTACCTTAGATTCCTCAACATGCCTCGCGTTCGAAACAGGCGGGAAGTCCGAATGCCCTTGCCCAAAGACCTAACAAGAGACTCAGCTGTAAGTAGGTTTGCTATCTCTTGGGGAATCACCGCGGGTAAAGACTAATTAGTCTGAAGCAGTAGTATTGAGTTGAGAGCTAAGCAGAAAACAAACAGGTAACGCCTTGAACTGGGTATCAAACTCCTGCGGTATCTATACAAATACAATACTCTTTCAAAAAGCCCCGAAAGGACGTTCTCCTTGCTAATGCAAAACTCGCAGAAGGAGCAAAGCATAAACAAGGAATCCTCTCAAAAAGCCAGCCCACGCAATCTCATTCCTCGTCCATTTATAATCCAACAGCACCCACCGCAATGACATCCCAATCCTTCTTCTCGTCAGGCAACTCTCTCTCTCTCTCCCTTCAACGCTTCCTCTTCGCCGGCACAGCCTTGGGCGTCCCAGGCGCCACCTCCCCGACATCCTGAAAGAAATCCAACGCATCAATCCGATAATCCGCCGCCAAAGCCTCCTTGGCAACACCCGGCAAATACTCCCAGCCCCTAGGATCCCCACCCGCGGCAATAGCCTTGGCCTTCCAGTACCGACACTCCGCCTTGGCGAAACTCGCCTCCTCGGCGCGGAGCACGGCGGCCCGGTCACGCCGGTTCCGGCTGCGCATCGCGGCGACGTTGTTGCGGTCTTTGAGGTTGCGGAGGCGCGCGGCTGCGAGGTGGTTGTTGTAGGCCATCGCTTCTTGGCGTTGGGGGCAGCCTTCGGGGCCGAGGGAGACGTCGACTTTGATGAATTTGCCGAGGGCGGGTTGAGGGGGCAGAGAGGTGATTTCGGGTGCGAGGGGGGCGGCGCGGATTTTGTAGATTTTGGCGGTGGCGGAGGAGGTGGAGGTGAGGAGGTCGTGGTTCTTTACGCGTGGAGAGGGAGGGGGGAGGGTTGTGTGCGTGTTGGTTGAGAAGAGGTGTTTGATTTCGGTCTCGCGGCGGGTGCGTTCTTCGAGGGTTGTGTAGAGAGGTACTTGGAGGTGGGCTGTTAGGAGGGAGGAGACTGTTCCCGGGAGGTTGTTGGGGGAGAAGAGGGTTAGGTGGTAGGGGGGTTCGACGTCGGGTGTCGTTGAGCGGGGAGCGAGTTGGATAGGCTTTGGAGCGCGAGAGCGGAGGCGCTTGGAGGGTGGTCCTATGGCCTCGTTCTGGGGCTGTTGAGGAGGAGGAGGCTGGATGTAGGCGTTGGCCATGGGTTGCTGGTAAGGGGGGTTGCTGTACGGAGACTGGTATGCTGGCGGCTGGAAGCTGTTGCTGTATGGCGACTGGTACTGAGACTGAGGAGGGTTGTATGGTTGCTGGTACTCGTTGGGGCCGAAGAGAGGCATATCGTTGAGGAAGCTGTCCTCGAAGAGGTATGGATCCCGGGTGTTGTCGAGATCCAGGAACTGGCTGTAGGGGCCGGTCATGATGAAGTTGTTGAGCAGTATTTGCGACGAATCTAGAGAATGTTGAAGACTTTTGGGTTTGCGAAGTTCTGAGAAGCAAGTTTGAGGGCTGATGACTGATCGTGGTGTTTGCTCTGGACGATTTGAGTCACGATGCCGCGGAGGAAGAAGTGAATGGTGTTTGCTAGCCAAGGAGTATCCAGATACTGGCTTGGCTGGCGTGAGTGACTGACGAGAACGGACTTGATCAAAGTATGAGAACGACTTGAATGAAGTGAAGGATGCCGAGCAAAATATCGTGACGAGTGGGTGAATGGGGGGATTTTATATGGGTAGGGGAGAGGTCGGTCGTTCGACCGTTCGACCGCCTATTCAGAGGCCGCCCATTTGACGCCTTTAAGCGAGCAAACAATATGAGATGAATGATCACGCAGTTATAAAAGAATTCGCAACAGTGATTCTGGACCCTCGCCTAAGTAAACACGTGAGTTGAGAAGTTGAGACGACGGGGCTGCGGATCACGGGGTCGGCACGGCGATCGTGAGAGCCGGAGGGAGGTTTTGAGACTCATTTTGGCAGTTTTGGCGGTGTTGAATCACGTGTGAGTTGGACAGGCTCATTCATAGCTGTTCAGGGGTTCTATATGTCGGGAGACGAAATTTATAAGTTCAAGATAGGGGTATGTTGTTGGGAGATATTGTGACATATGCTCAGTGTTATTAATTGTGAGCTTTGAGCATGGCAAAGACCTGATGAGCTGACTATGAGCATTCATTGGAGACATATTGTAAACCCTACAATCAGCATCTAATATCCGTCCCAGAACTTGAGTATGCTTCTTTACTGTGCTTTTCTTCGCGTCTCTTCCAGTTTGTGCCTGCTTGACATTGGCCGACGTTGCGCAAATGCCCGGCCACATCCGGGATATGTGGGGCCGATCAAGTACGGGAACCGATCCCGGTCCCTCTTTGAGATGTTGTTATCAAGACAAAGACACATCGCCAGGATTCCATACTTCTCAGAAACGTACCTAGATGACCACGATGAAAGTCGAAATTGTTTTTGTTTGAATAAAATTGTCATATAATTGTATTCTTCAACTAGATAAGCCGGTTGAACAGACTCTATTATACCAAGCCAAACGCTCCCACTGGATATTCCCATCGGCCGTGTTCAGGCTCGATCTGTTGTCATGCAATGCAACACCCCAAAAACGCCGCAAATACAAGCCCTCTCTGGCTGGCAAGGCTGTGAAGCTTGCCCATCTTTTCAACAATCGCGCCCCTCGAAATATACGCCAAGCGAAACCTTCTATAGCTTGCTCTTCTGGACATCCTCCATCTCTTTGAGAATGTAGTCGTTGAACTCTTCGGCGTTATCCAGGTAAAGGTGGTGACCCGCCTTCGAAACCTCAATAACCTTTGCCGAGCCGTTCTCCCTCCTCTTCTCCTCCTCAGTACCATTCAGCAGCGCCTGTAACCTAGCCTGCTTCAGCTTCTCGGCCGCCGCGACGCCACCCTTCTTGTCCATCCAGTCGCTCTCGCCGTACATCATGACGATGGGGATGCCCGTCTCCTTGAACTTCTCGCCCGTGCTCTTGTCAATAACCTGGCGGCCGACGCCGTCTATCCTGTTGACCATGGGACTGCGGGCGAAAGCGCCGGGGGCGAGGATGTACGGCAGGGCGTACTCGCCGCTGCCGCGCTGGCGGAAGATGGAGAAGGCATAGTCGTGGAGCGTCTGGGACTCTTCTTGCGGCAGGTGGTTGAAGCGGCGGGATGTCCAGCCAGAGACGAAGCGGGGACCGAGGGGGCCGGTGAAGCGGACGATGCTGAAGGGGGAGACATTTGCGTCCCAGAGCCAGACGAGCCAGCCTGGGAGGGGACGCTTGGGTGCGTTGGGCGCGTTGGTCTTGTTGTTTCGTGATCCGACTGTGTTTTGGCCGTTGCTGGTGATTTCGTTTTGGTCCTGTGTGAACTCGTTTTGGAGCGTCGATTCTTCGGGCTCGGGCATGGCTGCGTTGACCGCGTAGGGGTCCTCGGGGATTCCGACGGGTGAGGCGAGAATGAGCTTCTTGAGGTGGCCGGGGTACTTGAGCGCGTAGGCGATGGAGAGGTATCCGCCGAGGGAGTGGCCAACGAGGGTGAACTTGTCAATATTGCGCTTCTTGCGCCACTCCTCGAGGGCATCGATGAACCATGCCTCGGCCTCAGCGGTCTTGCCCTCCTGGTCCTTGGCGGTGACCTTGAACGGCGGTCTCGTGGAGTTGCCCATGCCGAGCATATCGAGGGCGTAGAGCTTCCATCCCTTGGGGCGGGAAAGGGGCTCAAAGTTCTTGTAGAAGAAGCCGAGGCCGGCGCCGTAGCCGTGAACGATGACGAGGTTGTTGTCGACCTCCTCGCCGACGCGCTCGATGGAGTATTCGTTGACGGCACGGTTCTTGCCGGAGAGCTCGACCATTTGGGACTTCCATACGCGCTGGCCAAAGGGGTCTGGCTTGGTCGAGTCGAGGGAGGCGCTTTCGCGGGCTTCTTTGAGGTAAGGGATGTGTGACAGGACGTTGCGTTCGGCCATTTGCGGAGTTACACTTGTCCACTGCGGAGTTTTTGTTAGCCATGTTACCCTACGATCTAAGGGAATTTGTTGATCTGCTTGCCCATTGATAGACGGCATCTTTGTATCCCAAGGGGAAGTAGGTTCCCGGGGGACGAGTTGTCGCATTGGGAGCGGCGGGGGGTGCGGCGGCGGCAGCCATGGTTTGGTGGGGTCGGCGAGGGACGGAGTCTTCAGAAGAGGCCCGTATGCTGGGAGCAGGAGATTTGACGGTTGCAGAGGAGGATGTAATTAGTGAGGAAGCAAGTTTGAGTCGCGACCCGTTCACTACAGAAGAAGCAGTTTGTTGGTGTATCATGCCGGGTGTTGCTGGGGGTGGTGGCGACGGGGGCAACCGTCTATATACAAAAGACGCAAAATAAAGTACGGGTAGCGTCAGGCGTCAGTTCAGTGTGGCCGCGGGCGGCGGAGGTGTGTGTCCGGAGCGCGGATGTTCTGAAACTTGCGACGACTCATCAGTCAGCAAAGAATGCGGACCGGGGCTGTAATCTGTACGGAGCGGGATAGATAGATCCAGTAAACGCCGGGTTAGCAATCCTTCCCAAGTCTAGGCAGGTGCAGTAACAAAAAAAAAAAAAGAGACGGAGACACCGTTGTGCAGACAGTGGTGACGCGGAGATGTGGCAGAGGGGTGGACAAAAGATGACGGTGGGCGCGGATTGGAACTTTGGGGGTGGTGGGCAAGCCGTCAAGCTGCAAAAGGTGGCGGGGGAGGGTTCGATGAGAGACTCAGACAAGCCAGGTGCCCCGGCCGGAATGTCAACGGCTCCGTAAAAAACCGACAAGCTTGTTGAGCAGTTGAGTGACAGGGGCATAAGCAGGCAGGGCAGGGGTCATTGTGTGAGGAACGCGAGAAAAAATTGGCACAAGGTGGAAAACAACGTGCGCCCCAGAAGCGGGATGCGGATCGGTTCATGGACTTAGCACTCGGAGTTTGGCGGGTAGAAGAGTGGGGGCAGCTGTTGCATTGAGCCGTGTCGGCGGTAAGCGACAAAACAAGCCTCCGATTTCCCGGTGGACATGTGGCTGACTTTTAGAAATTCGTAGATGGCACAGTCAGATGATGCATTAAAGGCTGTGGCCTGAAGCTGACGGGGCAATTTTACTCCAGGACCTTACGCAATCAACGAGACGCTTACTCGATGTAGGCAACAATCTGAATGGGGGCTGAAATAGCATCGTGGATTCGTGGCCAGATCATGACCATACAACTTTGGACTGGCTCTAGCATCTGGTGCATCCGTATGCTATCAATATTTGCATGAGACCTGCATGAAGCAAGTAATTGAGTTCAGTGAAGAAGGGACGAAACTTCCTTCTCTAGCTTGTGGAATGTGTTTCAACTGTGAGGCCCAAAAACAAAGCATGGACGAGGAAAACATCTTTTCTCGCAATGTCTCCTACATGATGGGGAAGCAACTCAAGATGCACTCAGGGTCTTTGCGAATTGTGTGGGAAAACGGTGGAAATGAGCTTTTCGCTGACAAGCCAGAGCCGAGCAACCTTGTGCTCCGTACTCCGTAGGGGCCCTGCATATCCCTGAGCAGCTCACTAGCCTTGGCTCTTCAAGCCGACAGGGCTTGATTTAATATGAAGCAATTTATCGTCAATGAAAGTCTTCAACCGATTTGCACGTGTCGAAAGCTCTCACTGCTCAGCTCCCCAACAAGCCTTATCGCAATCGCAATCGCTTATCGCCGTGGTCCCGACACCCCGCGCTCGGGCCACCCCGCCTCTCTTTCCTATGACGTCCCACTGTCCACACCTGCCGCCAGACGGAGCGGAATTTCCACCCCCAGCCCGCCAGGTGAAGCACAACCCGGCCGGCCTGGATTGACATCTGACCACCGACAGATTCCAGTTCCGCCCTTGCTTCTCGAACACCAGCAGAACGCACACACGCAGAAGCTCCCATTCCCAAAGGGCAGTGCAGCTAAAGCAGCCTTATTTGCTTGTTGCTCACCCCTTTCTGCACCTGCGCTCCGTCCACCTGCAGCTTCGCATCATCCTCCCCGCCCCCGACCATTGCGCATGTCTACAGACCGCTGCTAACTGCGGCTGCCGAGGCCCCCTCCAATTCTCAATTCCCCGTCCCGAAGCGACCTGACCGCCACATCACCGCCGAAAAGCTTTAACCCCCCTCCGAGCGACGACAGGTCTCCTTACCGCAACCATGGCCGACGAGCTTGACTCGCTCGTCAAGGGCGCCCCGCCTCCGGGCAAGGAGCCCAAGGCCGCCGTCGGCACCACCGGCGTCGTCCCGGACTCTGGCAAGCAAGGCGACCCGTTGATCCATACGCCGAGCTCCCCGTCCATGATCTACCTGAACCTCCTCATCCTCGAGGCCTCCCTTCGCGCGCAGTACCTGGAGCTTCGCGCGCGCCGCCGCCATCATACATTCTTCTTCACCTTGCTGACCGCATGGATCAGCGGTTTCGGTTACGCCCTCTTCTTCGCCCCGCGCGAGGATGGTCGTGGAGTTGGTGGCTCCGTATACTGGGGTGTCGAGACATTCGAGAAGATTTGCTTTATGGGAGGCGTCATGACCGCGATATTGGTATGGGCTACAGGAATATGGGAGCGAGGAATCAGGTGGCCACGCCGTTGGTTCGCCATCTCCAACAGAGGCCTTCGAGGTTTCAATTCTAAGCTGGTTATTATCCGACGACCTTGGTGGGCCGAGTTTCTCTCCACCATTGGATTCTTCCTGACCTACGGACTGTTCTCCCACACCGCCAGCTCATCCTACCGCTACGTCGAACCATCCATCCTGCGCGAAGTCGAAAAGGAGCTGAGCCTCACCGCGGACAGCCACCCAACGCTACCGGTCCTGCTCGAAGACGAAGAAAAAGGAGGCCACGAGGAGGATCTCGCACCGGGCGGAGACTATGTTAAGCTTCTCCTGCTCGCGAAGCCGTTCACGCCTACATTTAGAGAAAACTGGGAAATCTACCGCACCGAATACTGGGAAAAGGAGAACGAGCGCCGCGCCCTCATCCAGAAGAAGCTCGCAGCACGCGACCGCCAGGTGGCCAAGCAGCGATGGGGCATGTTCTGGTGGCTGCCATGGCACCGCATCGACAAGGCCGGCCCGCCGCCCGCGCGCCAGCAGTCGCCCGAGAAGACGACGATGCACCCCCGCGCCGCCGCCATTGAGCGCGAGCACCGACGCCGTAGTAGCACTACCAGCGCGCATCGCCGCAGCTCGACGAGCTCGAATCGCAGCCTCGCACCATCTGTGGCCGCGACGAGTGATGACGGTGATGGTACTGTTAGTAGGAAGGCTAGCACCGGGTCCAATGCGTCGGAGAAGCGGAGGAAGAAGACGTTGACGAAGGCGAAGCGTCCCAACATTGAGTCGAGGTCTGTCACGCCTGATATTTCGTCGCCGTTGGCGAGGGAGGGAAGTATCAGTCGTGGGGATAGCGGTTCCGGTGCCGAGTCTGTGGCGGAGAGGTCGTTGAGGCACTCTTCGTCCAAGGCTAGTATCAGCTCGTCCATCAATTCGTTTCGGGAGAAGCAGCGGAAGGCTAGCGAGTCGTGATTGCATGAGATTATAATGTACTTTACGAAGCGAGGAAGCGAACAGATGATAAATGAACATGGTACACATGCACCACTAATGCTAATGGTTCCCTACCTCATGCCTCGATTTCTTATTAATGGCCCGACGCTGGGAAGGCTACCTAGTGAAAGATGCTTAGATGAATATGAGGCCTGAATACATGATCTATCTTGTCTGGCATTATCAAGTCGCCATTAGTCTCAATCTCCTTGCCGTCTCAGCAGGGTTCTTTTGGTCCTTGGCTCCTGCCTGAGCTCTTCGCGCCTTCCTCCGTCAATCGCCCCATGTCCTGCCTCCAAGGCTCTCTCTCTCTCCTTCCCGCCAATACGCCCTTCGGATTAATTATCAGGCAGATCGGAAGAACGCGCACTCGTACCTACCTCCCGTCTGCCTAAGGTAGGTGCTCGGCTCCACTTCTGCCCTGACCGGGCACTCTGGCTTGGCCTGATGCCTTCCTTCTCTCAGCCGATCTCACGACCTTCCATCTTTCCTTCTTCTACCTTTCCCTTTCTTTCCCACCTACCTACCTCTCACCATCTCACTTCGTCGCCAGGCGGCCCGGCCCTCCAAGGCATTATTATCAAAACTCATTTTAGTTCAACTTCCCAACAGCTATGGAATATCCCCTTTGATACATTGGAGTCATTGACACGTCTTCCATGTTCCTCAAGCAACTCAACGCGGTTTACTTCCAGCAGAGCAACATTGATCTTTTTCGCCTGTCGAGTAGGACACGTCAACGTCCTGGGCACCACCAGTCATCGAAATATTTGAACTTTCCCCTTCCACCCCATCTGACGATCGCGAGATGATGGGTCCCATGCCACGCGACGCGCTCACCGCCGTGGACAGAGGGGTTGGGCAACCTGGCACGAGTGATATCTCTTACCTACGAAACTACCTACCTAATGTGAGTACAACCGAATCTTCCTTCCCATTGGTGACAAGCGATACTCATCATCTGCCACAGTACCTAAGTATCTACCTACCTTATGAAGGAGAGGAAGACGGCCAAGGGGATTCAGCTGGAATCTGGATCTCTTGCTCTTTCCCGAGTCTTCTGTCCGAATGTCTACGTACCATGGGGTTCCTGCTCGTATCTGCTGTTCTGGCAGAGTACATGAGTACGTCCCTGATAACACCATCGATGCGGTAAGGAACCAAGCACAGCAACCACCTTCTTCTTTCCTGTTCTGACTTTAAGCAGCTGCCAGAAGACAATCAGATGACCTCTCCTCTCCCGCCACCTCTTCCCACGTCTTCTGTGGACTTCTTTCGCTTCTTCTCCTCGCCCAGGTCTTACTTTGACGAAGGCCATCTCTCTCTCCTCCCGCCACGTCCCCTGCAGACGTTTCTCGCTTCTCCTCGTCACTCACGTTTGACTTTGTGAAGAAGGCCCTCCTCTTCCCACGTCATCTGTGAACGTCTATCGGGTCTCTCTCTACAACTTCTCTTCCTCGACCTAATCCGGACAGATCTCCTCTCGCCATCCCTCGCGGACCATCTACGAACGAATGTCTCAAGATGGCGTCTTCTATCAAACGTGAGTTCATCAACCTGTGGTGCTCCTCCTGCTCGTCATCCATTGACCAAACACCAGGCGAACTCAATGAGCGACGAGTCAAGCGACAATGCATCGAGGGATCTCTTGGATCTATGACTCGTCCCATCATTCTCGATGACTCCCTCCTTGAAGAAGAGTTGATACCCCTCCCCACCAAGCTCGGCAACGATTCCATCGTGATCGAGGACTGTGATGCCCAACATCCCCTTCCCAGTGCCATCTCAATCAACAAGGGACCAGACAACAATATCATAGTCCCGCAGCCGTTGACTAGAGCGATGAAGCAAGCACTCGCGCGTCACCCTTCGGGGAAATTGCCCATCCCTGCTGGCATGGAATCAACACAAGGGTAAGCAAATTCTAATACATTTTCTTCCAACAAAACCACCACTAATGCTTGTCCATCTCAGACTACCATACAAGGACACGATGACACCGTTTAACCGTGGCATTGTACCGTTTGCCATGAACTCCAATCCATCTTACCTTGGCAACGACCACAAGTCACCATTCCTTGGCAGAGACTCGGCTTCAGTCGACATGGGTTTCAAGCCAACCTCGCTCCCAGGGACCTCTCAGTCGTCACCCATCGACGTTGACTCGCTGCCGGATCCAGTTCATTCAAGCTCGACGTTGGGCTCGAAGCCTTCCAAGTCTCGTGTCGACAAGGCGCGCTGTCAAGGCATTGACTGGGAAAAATACAAGCCCGAATACCCTGACCTGACTGACGACTTGATTGAGTACATGAACGCCCATCTTGCCGGACCGCAAATGTGCGAGACCGAAGACAACGAAGAAAGCGACTTTTACTATCAGCCACGCAGACTCAAGCGCCACCGACAGATCAAAACACGCAAGTGACCAGCGCCTCGCAATCTGCGGACCAAGCATCAAGTCCTCCTCGTCGATGGCTCTGAAGATAACGATGATGACAGTAAGAGACCGGATTCTTCTTCCATCAAGATCGAACAGGCCCAATTGTGGTATTATCATGTACTTAGCTAGCGAAGGGAAGAAGAAAAGAGTTGACACATGAAAACGATACGCATTCATGCTAGTAAACAATTGTCCCATATTCTAACTGCAAGCATGCAAAGCACGCCACACACGGCCATGTACCATGATGCTATACAAGAGCGTATAACAAAATGAATGCCCTGCCGCTCGACGCATCCCGAGTTTCTATTCCATCTCTTTCACTGTCTCCATCACTGCCTCCATCACTATTACCACTACTATCGCTACTCTTTCTAGCTGGTTTTTAATGTATATTCTCTAAGAAACAAACGTCGAACGTTATAAAATAGTAATGAGGACAGTTCTAGTCTAAAGAAGGGGGTTAATTATTTATTTTATATTAGATGTTTTAGTTAATCACTTAATAATTTCTTAAAAAAAGCCAATGAATGCTTTCTGCCGTGTTATGAGGTATAAATTTAGTCGTGCTAAGTAAGGCGTGCACATGATTGGAAGTCCTAACATCGGAACACATGTCCTGTCACTTATGCCTCATGAAAAAGAGGACCTATCACAGGATGCGACCAGGAAGACTTTTCAGGCTTCTGTACGATTTCGTTACTATCTTCTGCCGTCCTTTGGTAGATTAGATATAGAGACATGCTCAATCTTCTCTTCACTCGAAGTCATTGCTAGTCCGTGCCATTATGACATCTTCCACATGCTGAAGTTGTTGAATCAGCTATAAGAGCCAGACCCTGCTGAGGCAAAGACCTACGCATTCTGTGATATCTGTAGTTCTTTTGGCTTGTCTTTACAGCTCTTTGGGGACTCGCTCATCTTTTTGGCTTTCGAATACTTGCCGAGCCGGCCGGGGAAACCGTACAGGACACTTGGGACTTTGGGCAATTGACAGCCGTAATCCTGTTCGCAAGTCCGATCATATTCGTTGTGGAAGCATTTTACAATATTGGTAGGTTTTTCAAAGTCTTTCATGTCCATATCATTCATATCTGGCATTGACTAACACGGCTATCGTCGGATTTGGTACAAATAGGCGCAGAAGAATCATATTCGCTGCATCAAGACGTTCCTACGAATTTTCTACCATCCTCGCCGTCTGGGTCAAGAAGGGGCACCTCTACTTTACCCGAAAACTCTATGACTGATCTTGGACCCCTAAGAGTTGAGGAACTCAAAGAATTGGCGCGGAGTCTGCGACCGAAGTCGCATCTGAAATCGGCTTCTACACACTGCTAGTTTCAACCTTGCGTTTGTGGCGCATTTGTTTTATTTTTACTTTTACGACCCTTATTATTTTGCTTTCGGTGGGGTACTCACGGCATTGTATAGTCTTGGCTCATGGTACGTGTTGTATCAATCCCTTCTACTCCATCTCATCTACCTGATGGGCTTCGAACTGGAACCTAGAATCAAAAAGTCTGAACTAAGGAGATGGACTTTCGCTGCTTGCTTCATTATCTTACTATTCTTTTGTTACTTACTCGCGTCTGCTGTTGAGTTTCTTTGTTTTACTCCGCTCGATTACGCTATCGGATCTTACTATGTCTCGCCCTCCATCTTGCTGGTCTTTTTCTTTGGATTTGTCCTATATGTGGGTTTATCATTCGAAAATGGTAGATGTACTGTAGCTTCTTCTCAAGAGGTCTAATGTTGAACTTTGAGATTTCTTTGAAGCCGAAACTCGACAGCCTCGGGCATCCTCAATTGAATGAAACTGGCCAACCTCTTCAGATGGCTCACTTTCGGCCCTGCTCTCATTTGGCAGACTTATGATCTCGCTCGCTGTGATGTGTTCAAAGGTTCAGCTCTCTCTAATGACCTAGCTCAGTATCGGACCTAATTTAAGACAATCCCGTCTCTGAGAGATCCTTCACCAGGCTGTGTATCCCGTCTCCAAGTGAGACTGAGAAGAAATGGGTAACAAAATCTCTTGCTGTGAAGGGCTGGATCTCAGATACAGGCGAAAGCGGTAACTAGCACACCTGCCAGCTTGGCTATGTGCCCAGCCTATGTTATCGCATGGGGGACTCAAGTGCGATTCTCCGACTTCAAGACTTGTAGCTTGGTTACACTCAATGCCATAACGACAGAAAGGATCAGGTAAAGAGCCCATCTCGTAACAGCTGCTTACTGCACAGCTTACTTCCTTAGCTTCCGGTTACGTGTGATGTTGTGTACTGTCTCACTCTCTAGCACTCGACATTCCTCGCCCCCGGGCCCCCGGCCCCCGATGATTCGCCTCCCGAGAAGTGTGGTAGAATCAGGCTGAGGATACTTGTTCAAAACTGATGATCTCCTCTCAAGCAAGGTACTGCTGCTGCTGGCAGCTGCATTCTCGCTACGTTCTGTCGACCTCACGGTTTTCGTCAACTTCAGTACACCTGCTTCACCACACACGACGGCACGATTTGGATGACAGCATGACTTTCGATACAAGTGAAATGGTAGGCTACGAGTGTAGCGAACGTAACTGCCCAGATACTGACCCTGACGTCAGTGGAATTGGCGTAAGTAAACCACCAACACCTGCCAGATGATGAAGCCAGTCAACCATCCATGATTCAAAGGACTGATATCAATTCAAGGTTATTATCGGCTTTGTTGGCAGCGGCATGGTGATTGTGCTGTTGCTTCTGCTTCACCTCATTTTCATCTACGACCCAGAGCTCGACCAATTTCGCAAACCCGAGGAACCTAAGAGAAAGGCTGAACATCCTAATTTCATCGACATGGCTGTGTTACGAAGACTTCGAGTGGCTCTGAGAGCGATTGGCCTTGATGTTTCTGATCTGAGTGGGAAGACTAGAGGCACTGCCTGGGAGAAAGCATTCAACAAGGTAAAGCATCTGTCTCTGTATTCATGAGCACAAGGATCCCTGGAAATAAGACGCAGCAGGGGTTAGAGAAAACTTGACTTACCTCAATCTACTCTACAGTGCATCCTTTCTATGGCGGATATCCAGATCATCACGGGCCTCGCCGTGTTGATTAGCGGATTCCACGGTCTTAGAAATATATCGGGCTATCACTGGCTCATGGTCACATATACAGCGTGAGTCTGAGTTCAACTCTACCCTAACCAGAGACTCAGAGACTCTAATTAAGCGAACTTCCTGCCTCAGATGGTTCTCAGCGGTCACTCACGTCGCTGCTCTATCACATCTACGAAATTACTACTCAAACCACCTAGAACGATGCATCTGGAGGCTCATCTTCATGCTCCTGGTCGTGATTCTCCTCGTCGGCGCTATGATAATCGGCGTACCGATCAAAAGCCACATGTCTGGGCCCTTCTGGTGGATTCAGACTAACCCCGCAATGAGCTTCTGGGAAGAAGACACCCGCCCCTGGAACTACTATATTGGAGAGAGTGAGAAACTGCTAACATTCGATCCCTCGTCTTACGGGGACAAGACGAACTCGTGTCTCCAGACTGCTCTTTCCGGCATGATGTTAGTGTTCAGCTTCATCTCGAGGGTGGTCAAGATGAGTCGTGGCACGTCCGCCTTGCTACGGAAACTCCGGCAAAGAGTTCGAAACAAAGTTGTTGTCATCGTCAAAGGTGGAAGAGCTCGTCGGTGGATTGGGTCTCCACCCTACACCTTCCTCGTCGCGAGACCAGTGGCTGCAGCGTGGCTCTTTGGCCGGGCATATTCGGAACTTTTCGGCTCCTTTCTAGCAGAGGTACATCCCACCCACTCTTGGAGGAAACACTGGAAGTGAGGTAACTGATATACTGCATGCTTTTGCAAATGCAGGTGTTCTGGGTGCTCGTGACAACATTCTGGGGCCTGACGCACCTCGTGAGGATTCGTGCGAGGGCGCAGGTCGCATTCGATTACAGCCAGCATTGCGATTGTCCAAGCAACGAAAACGACTGGTCCTTTGGCCAGGTAGCGGCGGTGGTGTTATTTTCAAGCCCGCTATTCATGGTCATAGAGACCTTTATCACTTTCAGTAAGTGGCTCTTCTTCCGAGTAACGTTGAAGAATGGTTCCGCTGAGTCTTTTTCTCAGATCCAAAAAGACATGGCGCGTCGAGATTGGACTCCCTGCCACAGACCGATGAGCCGACCGCCGCACAGGTTCCCGAGAGCACACGTAAGGAGACCGACGACCGCAACACCCCAATTGAGGTTACTCGGCTTTTGGACTCAGCATCAAATTGGGAATCACCGTCATTCCACATAGCGATTTTCGCCATCACCGGGTTCAACTTCATTTTGGTAGCCTTCATGTTCGTCTTCACCTTTGCATATTTTGGACGAGGCGATGCTCTACCCCGCCTCGCTCCTTGTCATGTGTTGTATCAGCCCCTCATCGGGATCCTAGTGCTCCTCGTTGGGCTAGAGTGGGAGGGAAAGGGCAGTCAAAGGCATCGTTGGGTTCAGTATTGGACATCTGGGTCGATTCTGCTCCTTGATCTGGGTTATATTGTGTGGGAAATCTCCAGCACTGCAAAGTCCTCTGATAGTTATGATGGCTATTTAAGGGATGAGAGTTTCAGCGTTTCCATCATGATTCTTATCATTCTTGCGGCGGAGTATAGCTTGTATAGCCTTGTTTGTGTTACTGGTCGTGTCTTTACCCGCCGGTTCTCGCGTAGAAGTAATATGTCAAGTGGGTAGAGAGAAACAATATCTTCATTCGAGATTAGAGATAATAAATAACCCGACAAAAACCGACACCTTGTCCGCCGGAACATATTACTTCCTGGAACCCAGATCATCCTCACTCTCATGAAACATACTCCTTCTCATGGTAGCAGTACCAGCCGGACTAACCGGCAACATCCTCGCACTAATGTAATCATCACCATCCGATGCCCCAGTTGGCGGGCTCAGCGGACTCGGGTGTCCGGGCGTCGGAGTCTCCGGCACCGTCTCCGGAATGCTACGTGGCTGCTCCCGAATAGCCGGACCGTCCTGCTCACCTCCCGACGAGGCAGAACTGACAGTAGCTTCGCTGATGTGCCGCAGGTGCCGCGCCTCTTGGTCGCTGAGACCAGAGACGTCGGACCCGACGCGTCCGGTAGAGGTAGCGGGCGCAGCGTTGCTGATGGGCGGCGATGGCGGACCTGGGTCGGGCGATTGGGCACGGGTCTGGTACCCGAGGACGCCCGAGGAGCGGGAGAGCGATGATGCGTTCTCGTTGGAGGAGACGGAGGCGTAGTAGGATGACTGGTGAGTTGTTGCGGGGTTGGATGTGCCACCGGTGCCAAAGTGCGTGTGCTTGTTGATGATCTCTATGGGGGTGAGACCTGTACCATGTAATTCTGGCGGTCGCGAAGTATCTGTTCTTGGTTAGTACTTCGTCAGGTAAATTCGAAAACATAGTCTTACCTGGCAGCTCTGCAATCTGGTTGTCGGCCATTTCGTGATGCACCTGTTGTGGAACAGGCGATGCCGCAGGAGCAGGGGGCGGCGTGCGGACCTCGGCCATATCTTGGGAAGAGGCTTCCTCAGTCGTGACAGTAGGCGCCTTGGCCGGTTCGCTGGGCTGGCCTCTGATCCAGGAGATGATTCTAGATCCATTGTCGTCGGTATGCGTTGCCGTCCCATTGCCTCGTCTAAGTATTCTACGACGACGCCACAGGCAGAAACCGACGAGGATGGCAGTGATGAAGACAAGGCCGAGAACGACGCCGAGAACAGGAGCGACCCATTTCGGGGTTCCTCCACCACCGCCGTTGCTGTTGTTGTTGTTGTCTCCGCCACCCGTGACGGTTGGTCGCCCGGGATCCTTGGCTTCAGTGTACGGGTACCATGTGTTGATCTTCGAGGTGACATAGGGTGTCGCAAAGATGGACGCCAGTCCTTGATCAGACCAGCCAGATGGCTCTGGAGTCGTCTTCGTCGCCGAGCCCTTCTCATCGCCTCCAATCTTGCTGCGGACGACGGTGGGGACGGTGTAGTTCGACCATTTCGTGGGGCTATACCCATCGAGCCACTTTGCACTGGAAAGATTGAAGACCTGCATGATGCCCCCTTCGAGACATGGTGGGAATCCATTACCAGGCATCGGCGCATAGCCGCCAATGACCATCATTTGGTCAGGGTATGGCATGACGCACTGATGACCGGCACGAGCGTGGAGAGCTTTCCCCTCGTAAACCTTTGTCCACTGGAATGAAGGAATCGACAGAACCCAGACGTCGTCGCTAAAGTCTTCTTTGGGATGAATTCCATCGTAACCGCCGTAGTAGTAGATGTTGAAGCTAGAGTAGTCCTGAGATGGCGCAAGTACAGCGCAGCCTCGAGTAAGGGCAGGTGGTTTTGTCCCGTCAACCTTCTGCTGGTACCACTTATCACCGGCTACGTCGTAGATGTCGATGGTCTCCATGAAAGCAGGACTTTCACTTGCCTATAAATGTTGTCAGATTGATAGAGTAGAAACCAGAACCGTGGAACTCACGCTCTTGACAGCATCATCGGACTTGTGACTGGAATTGACGTATTCGGGATATGTCACTCCGCCAAGAACTACGAGGATACCCTCAGCCCCAACGGGTACCCAGACGACCTCAGGATTTGCCCTGGCCTTGATACTGCTCGGTAGGGTCTGGTTGGAGAACGTCTCCAATATTTGAGTGGACATATCAAGAGTGATGAGGGTGTTGGAGGCGTTGGCGGCATTTAGAGACCGGTTCGTAGTTCCCTGATACATGTCACTCCAAAGAGGTGACCGCATTCCACCCACATACCAGGCCTTGTTTTCCGAAGGAGCACTGGCAGCCCCGCCATGGGAAACGTACCGAGTCACGCCGTTGTCCAAGGTCATTTGATCGCTTCCGTTGTTGAAGGCGGCCTTTTCTGCGCCGTACTCGTAGAGGCGCCATACTAGTGCCTTGTCGCCGGGTGGAGGGTCGTAAGCGTCCGTCGGTTTGGCAAAGACACCTCCATACAGAAAGAACTCGGCATCATTGTAAAGAAGAGCACCATCGATGGTATTTGGAGCGAAGCTATTGGCGTTACCACTTCCCGAAGGAGCTTTTGAGTGGGTATCGATGAGTTTGGTGATGTTTGTTGTTTTGTCGAAAGGCTTGCTGAAGTTGAGTGAGTACATCAGACCCAGAGGGTTGTCTGAAGATGTCAGAAATCGATCGCAGGAGGTGCCAAAATAGACTCACCTAGAGTCGTTGGGTTTCCGGTCGACCCATCCCCGTATGTTGGAGTCCAATACAGACTTCCACCATCTAGCCATAGCGTATCTCGAATGACGGCAGCTTGATCTTGTCAGATGTTGCCTAGCAGGGACGATTCGGTATTGCAAACCTCTTGGTGCGTACCAATAACACATGGACGAGTTCACTTGGCCTTTCTTAAGATCCCACCCATCATACTGGGCAGTTACGAGGCCCGCGACGGCCACCAGTAAGGCGGTATTCACAAGGACCATTCTCTCGACGGCTTTGTGATTTTTCTGATTCGGAAACGCGATAGGAAGAAATTCAGGCCGCCCGCTGCTGTCTCAGCGCATTGCGGCTGGTTATGGTGCTTCTTTTGGGAACCACACTGCGTTAATAGGAACGGTGGCAACGCTTCTCGAAAGCAGTGGTGGGAAAGTGTCAGAGTATGGGGGGGGGGGGGGGGGCATAAGCCCGGCTGGCTTGCGGCGGGAATGACTGGCGAAGAAAAGGGCACCCAGTCCGGGGAGGGGAAGTTGAGGCTGATAGTGCTGACCGTGCCTATGACTAAGTGAGGATGTCACTGGAACAGCGAAGTTGACCTCTTTGTTCGGAAGAAGGTGTCGAATGTTCGAGGCGGATGTTGAGAGAGCACACACACTTCGATCGACCCCGCAGTATCGCTCTCTCCGTGTATTCAAAAAGACGGACCGGTACGGTGGCAACGAGATGGAACCGGATGGGACAGCACGGACAGGGTCAACAAGTCGGCAGGAAAACTGATAAGGTGGTTGCCACTGGAGGATCTCGCCCGAGGTCTCACTAGAATTATGTAAGGCTGGGTCGCTGGACCACTTTGACTGGAGGCATGCGTGAACAAGGAGGGTAGAAGAAGAAGAGATGGGTGTATGCAACTCATCGGGCACTACTCTAGACCGGGCTCGGCGGTCCTTTGGAAGACCACTTGCACGGATGGGAAGCTCGTACCTGTTCACATGAGGGTGGGAGACAAACAACGAAATCATTGGCGGGTAGAGAGGGGCAACGGATGTCTTCGTCTGCCGTAGAGAATATTGCCGCTGACTGGAAAGTGCTCAGCCTCGTCATCCACTCAGAGCGTTCTTGCGATCCATGGCTACATTCAGCTCAGAATGTACGCCAACGAACCACAGGAGAAAACAAGGAGACCGGGGAAGACGCTTGTCTCACCAGTACAGCCTCTAATTGCCATAGATGTTGTTCCGAAAGGTCTAAAACTCGTATCAATGTTCGAGCCGAGGACAAACTGCACAACCACAGAAACTAAAGGTGTGTTGCAAGCAGGCTGCGACCTGGAACACAACAGCAGCAGAACCACCATGTAGGCAAGCAATACGGTGTTCTTGGCATACGGTGCACACACCGTCCATCCAGCACCACAAGCCTCGCAAGACCAGGCGGACAACAAAGACAAGCCAAACAATACGTTGTGAGTCGGACGAGATAACAAAGAGACGCCGCAGGGAGAAATTCCAGTTCGCAGTTTGCTCCTGTGGTATTTGCTCCCAGTTGTTGCAAAGCTTGCTGAACCTTATTGTAAGCAAAAAGCCGTGTCTTTACTCATAGTGGTAAGGAAGCCGAGGCAAGGTGACTCGTCGATATTCCGGATAAAGTTGCGGTTCCAGCGGGACACCACTTCGAGAGAGGTGACATGGTTCGAGAAGGCAAACTACGAGTAGGTGCGTGAGCGGGAGAAAAATTCTAAAAACATGTTGGACGCAGCAACATGCTGTCTGTGCCTCTGATCACCACGTTGGTGCAGCGGTCCCGGCATCAGCTTGCATAGGAAATGGTGTGGTGGCAGTGGCCATTGCAGGGGTTGAGCATCTGCAAGTCAGTCAATAGACGGGTCGCCAAGTTGGACCTGCGAGGTCTGGATGGGACCAGCACAGTTGAAGCTGCGGGAGCAGGCGAGGATCGGGGACAGGGACGTTCGGATGAGCTGCTTCGTTCGAGTCTCCAGCCTCCCAGAGCAGGCACGGATAAAGAGAACGGATCATTGAATGGGGAGGAAAGATGACGGTGTCAGCCCTGTGGGATTGACCAAGTAAGACTGATCCTTGTAATATCGACTGTCGGTGAGAAGGATGGGTGTCTGAGCCTCTGAGGGCGCACAACGTCCCATTGATAGATGGCGTGTTAGATTCCGATGAGGCTCAGGGTAAGATAGAAGGCGGCGAACGAGTAGACAACCAACGAGATGACTCCGGGCGGTATTTCTGATCCAAAGACCTTATTAGAAGCGGAGTCGTAGCCTAGATTCACGATGCCGACTTGGCCGGTGGATGGAAACATTTGTTGGTGGACGGGGAGGTGAAGAGAGAAAGGTGGAAACGAAATAAAGTACCAAACGGCGTCGAGGGAAGGTGGAGTGGCAGCCAAGTCAATACTACGTATGGTTTAGCGTTGATGAGGTAATGAGCATCCAAACCAATCACAGCTTCTACTTTGGGAAGGCTGGAAGTGTGGATAAGCACACACGGAAGCGACCCACTGTTGCCCATTTACCCCTCTTTCCCTCTCTTAGCTTGGATCATCAAGCTACTCCCAAAACGGTATGGCTCCCACGAGCAGTTCCTCCCATAGGGCGGGAGCACGTTTCCCCTGTTCCTGAGCTAACCTCCTTCCGCCTTAGTTCATCTCTATTGTCACTCATTCACTCACTCATTCCCCTTGTTCCTGGTCATCTCATCCTTCTGTGCTGACACCTCCGGACCTCCTCTCATGCTCACTCGCATTTTCTCATCAGGCTTCAGTATTTCTCGGTCTAGCCACTCAGATCACCTCCGACTGCACGAGGATTGCACATTGTGGGCGGTGGCGAGCAGAAATATCCCCTCTCCAACGCGAGCCATCGAGGCTTGCAGAGCTTGACAGATGTACCGTGATCAAAGACACGGCCAAGGATCAGGTCCCTGCTGGAAATCAGGTCTCGATCCTTCAATGACACTGGAATATCTCGCTGTGAGGAGATGCTCGTGCTGACTGGCTCTCAGTCGCAGCTTCCTGCTCGTCGGCAATACGACCGCAGAGGTGGAAACAACTCTATGAGGATGAGAAGCATCTCTTGCTCATGACTTAAGGTATTCTTGATTCGGGTCTTCTTCCAAGGTGGTACCGTGAAACCCGCCATCGAATCAATAATCAGACGGCTCTAGAGACACGAAGTATCGTCATCCATTCACACTCTTGGATCATGCTGCAAGGTTCACCAGTGGCACCTGCTGTACTACCCAGGTTTCTTTTCGGTCTCACCCGCTGCACTCGACCGGGCAATCACTCTCTCAGAAACCAAGATGGCAAGATCGTTGCTCTGGCACCGACGACCGAGTATCCGCAAGGGGCAGGCGGAAGTTGCTTCCCAGCTTTTCTCATTTGCACATTGATCGGGTTTTCGGTTCATGTTTATGTTCTTTGCCACAAGTTGTCACTCGACCAACCTGGTTTTCGTCGTACCTGGCTATCCGAAAGCAATATCGTCTGCATATCTGGGTCGATGATCTTCAATCTTCTTCCCCCATGCCGGACCTCGACAGTTGCAGGCGCTTCGCATCCCGCATGCCTGCCACCCTCCCGCTTCCCGGACATGCCTAGGCTTTAAACTTACGGAAGTCTGCCCGTTACGTTACTTGCCGTCTCTACCATCTTTTGGTGTTCAAGACCTGGGCCCATCCAACGAGGCAATATTGCACACAGCTTCGAGCCTTCGACCCTGGCGTGCAGCTCGACTGTCAAATCTTGCGCAAGAGGAGCAAAAGCCAGCCACTCAGGGCCCCCATCTAAGCAAAAGTCCCTTGTGTGCGCATCGGTCTTGGCCCTTGCCAATGCCACCCGCCTCCTCCCAACCCAAGGACGACAGTAACGGCCGGCCGATGCCGCCCCACGGCCGCCCAACCTCACTTCATGTGGCTCAGGCGCAGATGGGACGAAGTCCGGCAAACTGTGCGTAGCTCCCTCTGAGATCCATCTGTCTTACCCTACCTTACTCTTCGATTCAGATTTTCGGCCTTTCTGTCTTTTCTCAGACTGTTCTCCCACCTGGGGTCCCGTCTAGTTTCCCCGCCTCGCCAACGTAAATTAGGCTTACACAGTCAGGTCATATCTTCCGAATGTGGTATCCAGTGATGCTGCCGCAAGATTCCCGCAACGATTTTGCGTCACGCATCTTGAATTTGGCCTACAGGAAAGTCTTTCTGTAAGCTGCATGGCCAATTCCTCCCGGGACGCGTACCCAAGCAGCCAAGTCACGAGCATCACATCTCGCTCCTGCTCGGTTTCTTGGACCCGGACCCGTTTGCCGTTGGTGTAGCGACCTCTTTGACCGTTCATATGGCCTCCGCCTGCCTTTCAAGGAAACAGCTTGCCAACCACGGTCAATATCCCTGCCGTCATCTCTGCAGGTCGTACTAGGGTCCTAGTGGGCCGTCACACCCCTCCTCTAGTGTCCACATTCATCGGCTCTCTCGCCTTTTGTGCTCCATTGCGCTCGTCCCGATCTTGCATTTGCCAATGGCAGTCAAGCGAAGCCTCATGGCAGAGAATATCGTCTCCATTTGCTCCGACTGCCGTCCGAGGCACGCCCCTCCAGTATGTGGCACATCGACACACGAGAGGCGACGGGCCTAGAGCTTAGCTCCCCATGTGGTTGGGTTCCTTCGTCATCCTATGTCCTTGCCTCTCAATTGTCCTGTTTACTTAGCCAACACCCTCCCTCCTTGCCTCGAGAGTTGAGCTGGCGAGATGCCGAGCCTATAGATCGCCCACATTTGCCAACACCATCTTGGACGGAGGTCCCGCGGAACAGACATTGCGCTACGTAGCTTACGAGGTACGGATTGCTTTCTCTGGCTAGAGCTTGCGGGGAACCTCATCCTGCAGTTGACGGGAGTCCTCCTCGTCCTGATCCTGAGCTCAGGTAAGGCTGCCTTGCCAACTCAGCTCTTCAGCCTCCCGTCTCCCGACTGTACATACATATGAGCCCCCCAGGTACCATCCTCACCTTCTTTGAGCCTGTTCTGCCCCCAATCCCCAACTGGCACTCGTTCATGTGTGTTCAGCTTCGACCTGCGGCTCTCCCACACTCGTTAGTCCATTCTCGCAACGCGGCCAGCTTGCATGCTGCATTGATACTGGGCACTCGGGATACCATTGTCTCTCGTTCGTCAGAAGCTCACGGCAATGCGTTGGACATCACTCCTGGCCTTGGGGGCCTTGGCCGTCAGTGTCACGGCACAAGACGGCGGAGCGGTCTTTGCGAGACAGAATGATTCCTATTCTGAGCCGTCTGGCGCATACTCGGTTGCACCTCTGCCAGAAGCCTCATCTTCGGCTTCACCTGAGCCATCTCCGTCGCCTGGGCCTCAGTCCTCGTCGGGACCGGCTTCTTCAGTTGAAGCCCAGCCCGCTCCCACAACCACCAGCGCCGACAAGAAAACGCCAGATTATGGCACCGACACCGATGACTGCAGCCACTGGGCCTCGAAGTGCCCTTGGGGAAAGACCGTCACCGTTACCGAGAAAGAGGTCTCGACTGTTACCGAAAAGCAGGTCTCGACCTTGACCGTTGAGAAGCCGGTTGTTTCCACGTGAGCCTCCTTCCTTCAAGGAATCTCGAAAACGATATCTCTAGAGCCCGCCCAACTGACCCCAAGTAGTCTCACGATCGTCTCTAAAGAGACCGTGTACACCACACAAGCCTTCACTACCACAGATTACGAGACAAAGACGATTGTGAAGGTTTCCTCTTACCCCGTGACTACCACGGTGGCTCTGTAAGTATAGGGGACTCCCCGCGAACATCCTTGCCTTGGACAAGTCAGAGCCGCCAATATCCCGATCATTTCCAGTGCACCAAACATTTCCGGCTCCTTATTCTCTTCTGTCTCCTCTTTAATGACACCGAGGTCGTCGCCGTCTTCTCAATCCGACAAAGGTGCCGCTCTGTTGAAGAGAGACGAGGAATAGGGGCCGAGACGAAATGCGGAGGGCAGACGGATCACAGGTCCATGACTTGCGATTCTACATATCTGAGCGCCTCATTGATTCCTTTTCCATCTATCACATGGTGCGGTTGAGTATGGGATAAAACGGGCTAACTCGCCTTAGTTGCGATCCTATAGATGCGCCTGGCCCGACCACCTCCGCTGTGCCAACATACGGAGGCGAATATGGCAGGAATCGGACTCCCCAGCAAGTCTGCCGGACAACGACGACCACAATTTGGAAAACGAGCACGACAAAGGTCACGGAACTAATCCCAGTTCCCACCACGATCGTACAGACGCAGAAGCAGACGGTTCAGCTTCCTCCCTCCATCGAGACGCAGCAAGTCACGCAGACGCGAGAGGTTACCGCTACTCAGATCAAAACTTCCGTCTCAACTTTAATCTCTACTGTTGTTTCGACTGAGGTCATTCCAACGACTGTGGTCTCAAGCAAGACTCAATACGTCACCACCACGTACACGACTTTGAAGACCTACTACTTCACGGATACCATTACAGAGACTCAGAAACAGCCAACAACGATCTTTGAAACCAAAGAGCGAACCGCAACAGTCACTCAGCCTGTGACTCGAACGGCCATTCAGGTATCAACGACTACACTCATCTCGACCCTTGTCTATACAACAAGCATCCCGTACACTATTACCTCGGATCACACAATCACCAAGACTTCCTATTCGGTCTCAACTTTCACCAGTCTCGTTACCTACACTTCACCAGTGACCATCACTGCGTCTTACACAGAAGTACAAACGGCAACGGCAACGGCAACGGCAACGAGAACCGCAACTATTACGGACAAAAAGACAGAATATCTGACTTCTTTGACGACGATCTTCGTCTCAACAACTCTATTCGAAACCCTCACTCTGTCAACAAGCTATCCAGTGACTGTACCGATAACAGTCACCAACGATAGAACGATTCGAGAGACGTTCTACTCGACTATCGTGGAGACTTCTGTGAGAACGGTAGTTTCTTCCTATCCGGTCACCCGAACGGTCACGAAAACCTCGCCTCCGGAAACGGTCACTCAGCCTGCTTCAACCGTCACCCTTCCGCCAGTAACAACTACGACGACGATTTCTGGGGAGGCTGTTACAATCACCTTACCTGCTTCGACCATCACCATTCCTGTAACCGCCACTATAACGGGGCCCAGAGAGACGGTAACGCGTCCCGCTGAGACGATTACCCTGCCGCCCGAAACGGTTGTCACTACAATTGCCGGCGAAATTACAACCCTCACCTTGCCAGCATCCACAATTACTCTGCCGGGAGTCACTAATGCCATCACCGTCACACCTCCTCCTGCAACCATCACTCTTCCCGGATCGACTGTAGTTTCGACCGTTGCAGGCGAGCTGACGACAATCACCTTACCCGGAACCACATTGACTCTAGTTAGCACCCAAGTGAACACAATCACTCTACCTCCCTCTGTGACGACTCTGCCTGGTTCAACAATTGTAACCACTGTCGTCGAGACTGCGCCTGCGTCAACTTTGACCATCACTCAAGGCGGTTCTATAATAACCAGCATCGTCCCAGGGCCGACATCAACCGTCGTCTCGACCTTGTCGTTGCCTCCCGTCACCGTTACCTCGCCACCGGTCACAGAGATCACGGCTTGTCCTGCCCCATCAAACACCCCCGGACTGAACCCTACGGTCGAGTACAATCCCAAGTCAAATCTGACGTGGGGCTGTCAACCTGGATATGTCTGTAACCCTCCCAAGCCCGCTGGTTGCAACCTATGGGCAGACCCACCGGCAGATAATTATGTCTGCGCCCCGCAGAACTGTATTCCAGCACCGCCTGTCACTCTGGCAAATTGGAAGGAGAACGAGACAGGTTACTACCCAGCGAACGAGGGATACTTCAACCTAAATCCGAATGCCTTTGGTCTTCCCTTTAGCATCTTTGAGTACGAAATCATCGTTTCCAAGGTGAAGGGTAAAAAGGGACACAAGAAAACGACAATCACGACTGGCAACTGGGCTTCAGCCACAGAGCTCACTCATTTTCCTCCGACTGCTCAACCCACAATCACGTCGTCCCCTGCTCCTACATCCTCCGCTGAGATTGGTAAACATGCCTACAAGCATAAACAGGAGGGCAAGACCTACGAGCGTCGTGCTTTGTTCAGCAAACGGGATGTTACGATCGCTCCTGCCATCTGTTTCGACAATTGTAACAATGTTTACATCGAGGTCCAGACCGTCGGCAAGAACCCTCAGATTTGCGAACTGAACTCTGCCTTCAATGCGACTCTCGATGCTTGCAGGCAGTGCGTGAATGAAAACGACCCCTCCGAGAATAAGGACACCCTGCGTGTCTACATCGAACCGCAGTTCCAGCAGTGGCTAGTTTACTGCACCGGCGAGGCGCCGCAGACTTCGTCCACTGCAACTGTGCTGCCACCCCAGAGTCAAGCAAGCGGCACTGCTACGCTCACGACAGCAAGCCAAGGGGCCGGTTCCAGTGACACTTCGGCCGTCCCTATTCCAGGGTCAACCACAACCACCACTGCTCAGGTGTCCACCACTCCTACATCCACTCCGACTCCCACGCCGTCACCTAGCACGAGCGCGGTAGCGTCTTCTACACTCTCGACTGCCAGCACGGTAGGAAGCTCGCAGTCGGCATCCAGCTCCAGCCCTTCGGTCTCTCCCACGCCATCTGACACGACTTCCGCAACGACAATTAGCTCGGGAACCACCGCAGTGACTTCTAGCCCTTCAGCAGCGACATCTGATGCCAGTTCGGCTGGTTCAACTTCTGCTGGAACTTCCACGTCGACCGGAAGCCAAGCCTCGGGTTCTCCAAGTGCGTCTAGTGCTCCGAGTACCTCAGGTACTTCAGTTGCTTCAAGTTCTGCGAGCGCTTCGGCAAGCGAATCATCGTCCTCCACGGCAATTTCACCGTCAGCACCATCCGGGACAGCAACAAGCGGTGCTGGCTCGAGTCCATCCGCCTTAAGCCCTTCTGAGTCCGGGTCTGCCACTTCAAGCACTACGGCCGGATCTGCATCCACAGCCACTGGCGGAGCTGGAGTCTCAACGTCTGAAACCTCGGCACCATCCTCGACTGCGTCTTCTCCCAGCACCACTACCACAGGCCCCGTCACAGCCGCAGCAGCGAAGCCCGCCACTTCAAACATCCTCGCCGTACTGGCGCCGCTCATGGTTCTTCTACTCCTCTAATTCGCATTCAATCCTTCTGAACACTACATAACATTCTTCTTCGTGGGTTTATACAATTGGCGGTAAAAGTTCATCGTTTTATTCTATACATTCCTTCCCAAGGTCCTGGACCATCATCATGTTTGGCGTTTTATTGAGATGAGACTTATGATTCGGCTTCGTTACAACGACTTCACGACACTTCTTAAGACTGACGAGTAATTGGCATCATTTGGCGGGCATTTATTTGGGCAACTTTGCATATTTAATGGGGGATGCTTCTTTTTTGGTCATGATACCCTTACGCTCCTTACGACGCGCGACTTTGAAGGCTATGAGCCATCACCCAGATACGACGAGGAGCTCGGCGCGGCTCTTTGCGGCTTGGAAGATGATGGAGGTGGCGATTATGATTGTTAAAACTCTGATTTGGGAGGGAAAGTAATGGGCCGGGGCACTGGATGAGGCAAGGTGGCCTCGTCAATGCCCGGATTGTGTTTGAGATATCCATTGCAATAATTTGTGTCTTTCTATTCAACGCGTTTGGGTACTGCCTGTGACGAAACCTCTTATCTGTGAGTCACAATAGAAAAGGCCATGTGTCCTGACCTGGGAACTATTGGCTGTGTTCGTGGTTTGCTTGGCACGACTAATTTAGCACCCTGCCATGCGATCGACAGCGTCCATCTCCTATGTTTCATGGATCTGCCCCTCGGCTTCGAACTTACCCAGACCTTTTCCAGACAACGTGTCCCCATTCCCAAAGCTAAAGTTTGATGTTAGGCAGACTGAATTCCATCTACGTTTACATGGGTCTGGATAAGTATATAAGTGCTCGCTGCCCCAGGCTTTGAGCAACCAGGCTATCAATGAACGAATCATTCCCCTTAACCTCCAGACGACTCCGAAGCGGCCAACAAACATCATGAAAGTACTCACTACAGCTTCCCTCCTCTTTGTCTTCTCTTTGCTTTTCCAGGGCCTCGCGTCAGCTTGGGATCTCCCATCTTTCCAGGTCCTACTCATCTCCTCATGGCTAGGCAGCAGCAGTGTAATCTCGCGCGTTCCTCAATTCGTTCTCGACACGGGTCATCCGTGGCTCACCACTCATGCCCACGAACTTTCCAGGCTTCCGGACGTGACATCATTCATTTGCACGCTCTCGGCCGACGATGCCTATTCTCAAGATGGCGTTACATATGGAAAAGAGAGCTCGGATGTGCGCGAGGGCCTCGAGGTACCAGCGGATCTGTTCCACCGGCTCGAGATCAACAATTACCGCGCTGGCGTGAGCCGCTACGGCTGGAAGAATTTTCGCAATAAACTCAAGGAGATTAAGGCGTGCCCGAGGGCACTCGCCGAAGTTCGCGACTTGACGGTCGAATTGAGGTGGCAGACCCTGGGCGATACCTGGGACCACCCCGCCGCGAAATCGACGCCTCCCCCAAAGCCCGTACCGGCGCTGTTCTCCGAGGTCATGGGGAAGATGAAGAACTTGAGTACGGTTGATTGGTTGATTGGTTGATTCGGGGAGCCGACGAGAACGCTGCCATCGGAAAGGCCTTTATCAAGGACGGGACGCGGTTGCCTGGTGTGAAGCACTTGGTGACGAGCATGAATGCGCCTTGGCTTGTTGACGCTTGCCCTTCACTGACCTCACTCGAAGCGAAACGCGATAGATTTGTCTGGGGAGAAGAGGGGTACGTGAGGGATGAGGCCTGGTTCGCGGCCGCTGGGAGAGCCAAAGGTCTGAGGAAGCTTGATATGGGAAACGTCGATTAGATGGACACGATGACTGATTGTGAGTACCTGGGGCGCGGGAACGTCCACGTCATTTTCATTCTAGCTAATCTACAAACTCATAGTCGTGATCAAATATGCACCGCACATTGAGGAGCTTCATGTAGGTCTTCCAATGCAGCTTGATAGGGTTGGCTGGTCCCCAAGGGACCGACTGCGGGTAAGGACACTTTTCTTTGCCTCTGTTCATCCGTTACCCCTCGATGGTTGATGTTTCTATGCGTTGCTAACCAACGCATATTACGACGCAGGATCTTACAGAATTACTGTCACTTCTTCCCAATCTCACACGGCTTTACCTTCCGCGGGCCGCGGAACTAGACCTCGGCGCCCCAGGGGGGCCGGAGTGCGATAACGCGTACATGGGCGAAAGAGGAGCCGAATATTGGCGCAGTGACATGGCTTGCGATCTCACGGCCACGGAATTGGCTGGGAAGATTGTAAGGGAGGAGTTTCCGAGGTTGAAGGAAGTCCATGTCGGCGCGTTTTACGGGAACTTCACTACGGATGCTGAGGGAGAGGAAGTCATTATCTGGGATTTGACTGGGGGATTGGACTGGGGGAGTGGACGAATGGTTGGATGAGAAGCAGGTGGCCTTTGATCTTGCCGATGAGCTTTGAGCTAGATTATGCAATAGCAACCGCGTCCCACCCGACGAATCTTGCAAGAGGCGGTACATACGGCCGTTCTCCTTCTCTCGATACTGTATCTGACATGTTGAGATCCACCGCACCGTCGCTTCTTGTCCACGAGGAGCTTTCGTCTTCTTCATCAACGTCCATCTTGCTGGCGTTGTCTGGCATAGAATTGACTAGGCCATCCCACGGGAAAGCATCTTTGAGGATCATCAGGAATTTCCCTGCTCCGTCCATCGAGGACAGAACCAAGTTTTTGCGATTGCCAAAGACGGCTTCGTACCACAGAATGGTGAGGAAATGGTCCGAACGGGCGAGAATGCCCAACTTCCAGGAGTAAATCTTGCGTAGGGATGATGCCCTGTCATTTAGACAAGCAATCATGGAAGCTAACTCATCCCTCCATGGGTCTCTCAGCCAATTCTTGAAGTTGCTTGGCTCATATTGGTGACAGAACGCTCGTAACTCGGCCTTTGTCGGTGGAAACCCGGGTATCTTGAAGTGCTGTCTTTGTAGGTGTGATGCTGCCTCTTCGAATGTACGATACGTTGTTACATTCCTACATTCTAGGCAGAATGAGTAATCTTTTCGCTCATTTGTAGTAGTGTCTTCAACGAACCACCGTCTTGAAAGCTGTGAGCCGGTGCACAAACCCTCTTCTACCCGACCCAAGCCCCCTTCGATCATGGCTTCTGGTACTGGAGCCCAGCTTGTTGGAAATGCCCGGTTGGAACTGACGTTGAGCTTCTCCTCTAATCCCGCCGCTTCATACAAGGCCTTAACCAGTTGCCGAGGATGGTCCCGGCCAGAGAAGACGCGCTTGGCTATTCTCTCCATGGCTTGGTTCATGTCTCTAAAATCACGTATGCGCGATCTCGGACGTGTTTCGAGGTATTCGGTTTCCGAAAGTAGTTCCAACATCTTCTCTTCTGTATGAATCGAAGTCGGTGGCAGATCTAGAGGCTGAGGTAAGCCGGCGAGATCTTCGAATCGTCTACCTGATGACCTTTTGTTGCTTTCAATAAAACCCCCCATATCCTTGTCGTTATAATCCAGAGCTGGACGTTGAGCAGAATGGCATTCGCATAAATGTAGCTTGAAGCCTGACAGTGAGTATTGCTGTCCTTGGTCACAGGCAGCAGGTGCGTGTACATGTGTGATATGCCTTGCTTGCTGAAGCGATTCGCTAATGTCGAAGCGTTGTAAGCAAAGTATGCAATGAACCAGATTACCAGTTTTGCCCGGGACAAAGTAGTCGTCAATGCCAATGGCCGCGCCACAGGACCATACCGCCGACGTATGTCTAGCTCTGGAAGGACCCAAAGGACTGCGATAGTCTGAAACATCACCATCGTGACTGCCGTTCACTGGAGATGAGTAGCTAAATATTCTCAGTGACCTCGTCTGAGAATGGGTTTGACTGAGTTTCTCAATGGAACTACTGATCGAGCCAGCCAGGCCGTAGATACTGTCGCTTATTGCCGTCAGTGACCGCCGCGTTTCCAATCGATGCTCTTCGATTTGGGTCTCAAGCTGCCTCAATCGATCATCGGCAGTGGTTGAGATGTGGTCCATCAATTCTTGGTGCTGAACGGCTGATTCCTCTGCGGCGGTAGTCAATGACTCGTCGTTCATGGCGTTTGATTGTAAATTGAGCTCCGTCAGCTGATGCAGTCCTTCTTGAACAGCATCAATCCTCGCCAGCCCTGCCATAGAAGAGGCGCTATGAACCAGTCGGTTAGCTGATGAAGTCTGGTCGACCGATTGACTCACGCGTTCAAGACACTGATGTCGAAAATCAACTGGGAGCGATGGGCCGTCAACTTGATTTCCATGTCCGAGATGCCCCGGAGGCGCTTGTTTTGAATGATGTCAAGGAACTTCCGCCGCTTAGATGTCGACTTTTTGACGCTCTTGTACGACTTAGACCATTCGTCGAGGTCTTTACCGCAGCGCACCAGGTGAGATCGTAGTGTAGCGATGTTCGGCTCCCAAGATGTCTCGACGATCGAGGGAAGGCTTCTTTCATAGGTCTGAAGCAAAGCATTAACGTCTTCTAGGGTCTCAGAGAGAAGCCCAACTTTTGCATTCAAGGACTCGGTCCGAATGTCCATCTCTTTTGCAGCCTGAACGAAATCATTGAGCTTGATGAGACCATTGACGACATGACCGGCGATGGAAAGTAGCCCAGCGATGCTGGCCGCCGCGGATACCGCCTCCATGTTCGCCGCCTTTTGGGTGTTGTGAGATCGAGTCTTCGAAGAAATGGGGGAAGGGAAGAAGTAGTTATGTAGTAGTTGGAGGCCTGGTCAACTGCAGCACCTGCCATCCATTATGCATGCACGATCATGCAGCACATCGAAGGGAACATTGAGAAGTGAGATACTATTGGCTTGATGGCTGTGTACGGAAGACGTGTGCGGCTAATGAGGGGGCTCATCAACGGGCGCACCATGGCGAACCATCTCGCCTCAATGGGTGCTTATTCTAATTTGTCGCAGCCCTAGAAAGGCCTGAGATATCCGTTGATTCGATCGGGATTTATTGGAAAGTTGATGACACCAGTAGAGGCAGTGAGCTACCTAAGCAGAGTTGTAAGTAAAGTTGTGTGGCAAACCGGTCGAGATGGAAAATCGCACCGGGTTTTGGTAACAATATGGGGAGATTTCCCAAGAAACACCTAGGTATTGCGATGATGACTAGAGATTGAACTGCAAGAATGAATTAGTGATCATACCTTGCCTCACTTGTCAACAAGACCCCTCAATTATCTTTGCTTACATCAACTTCGTCTATACAGCTTGCGCCCGGGAAGTCTACTTGAGGTTCTTGATAACCAGTATGTCGTACGAAGCAACATTAATACCGAGGTCGTCCCAGAATTGTTCTCCCTCGAAGACCGCATCATCACGATGGCTGTATACTGCCCCGTCGGACTGTATTGTACAAGAAGAAGAGTCCAAAGCTTCCACCTGTTTTTCGAAAGCTCCAAGCAAATCCGGAGTCCACATACTGCCCCATAACCGAGAACTCGTGGTATTGCTTTGGCTTGCTTGCGCCGTGATACTCGAGAAGTTCGACGATATATCAAGGAAGGCGCTGCATCTAAAGACAACCAGGAGATGTTCTGACTTGTGTAGAACATCCAACATCCAACAATCAATTCTGTCTCTTGTCGACCATCCTTTTCTCAGCTTTTCGAACAGGCTTGATATTTTTACCCCAGCGGTAAGCATGACCCATTCGGTAGAGTCGTTGGGACACCTCCTCTCGAACTCAAGGCGACAGTGCTGGTCAGAATGGCACAACGCACGATGTTGAAGTGCCTGCTCCGAAGTCGAGTATCTCGTTCCATTTTGGCACTCTAAACAAGACTTATATGACTTAACGGAGGCCTTCATCCTAGAATCAAATGAAAGAAACCAGCTGCCGAGGGGCATCGGTTTTTCAAGGTCTATAGAGGTGGACCGGCAGTCATTATTTCCCTGGGTTGGGGGATCCTTTTCGAGTAAGATACTGGGTATCGATATCCATCTATTCACGGGCGTTCTGTCGAAGCTGACGGATAGTTCTTCCACCAGATTGGCGGCCTGATACAAGATAGCGGCAGGCTTGAGGGAGGTTTCCGCCGAGAAAACCACATCGGATAGCATCTCCAAGCTTTGCCGCAAGTCATTGAGAGTGTTTAGTCCATTTGAAGAAGGTAAGTTGTCGACGTCGACGAAGCCAGACAGTAAGGATCTTAGTTGACTCTCTAGAATCAGAGATCCCGTGGAACCCTCCAAGTGCCGTTGCTTGCCACAAAGGGACTCAAGTCTCTCATCCTTATATCTTGATTGATGACGATGAAAGCTTCCCTTCATACATGGAATGTTCGCGGAGACGGCATCCGAATCGGCCGCATGATAGTCTCTTAGATGACTCTCAAAGCTATCCCTGTGCTGGTAATGTGCACCTTGGTCGCATGTGGCGAAGGTGTGGGTATTAACCATGTGTCTCGATCGTTCAAGCGACTCAGGACCCCCAAACTTTTGGTCGCAAAAGGCACACCGCATTTGGCCCAATCGTTGGTCTTCCTGGCTTTCGATGAAGTAATCGTCGATGCCTATTGCTCCAGCACATGTCCGGCCCACTTCACTGAAAGCCGTTTGTGTCGTCGGCTTCGCCTTTTTAAGGGTCCTTTCGAAAGGCTCGGTGTCCTCTATCGCAAAACTGATGTCCGATTCACGTCTTCTGACTTGTCGCATTGGCAAACGGGTGAGCTGCTTAAGAGATTCAGCGATACTGGACATGTTGTCGCTCATTTCTGAGAGTTGACTTCGAGTTTCGTGGTGTTCTGATATAAGTTGTTGCTGGTAGCCTTGAATAACGTTCGAATGATCCACGCTTTGTTCTTCGATCCGTACAATGACACCAGTTACTTTTTCTACGGCCTCGCCAACCCCAGCAATCCTGTCCAATCCACCAAGGGACACCTCACTGAAAGAATGCAGTTAGTTATGGCTGTTTGGTGATCAGTTAGATCAAACTTACATATTCATGGCACTCACGTCGAGACAAATCTGCGATCGATGACGCGACAACTTAGCCTCCATTTCAGATATCTCCCGGCTTCTCTTGTTCTGTATACCATCGATGAACATACGGCGCTTCGAGGCTTTCCCATCTTCAGGTCGTTGAGATCCGGTCCAAGCATCCAGATCATCAGCACATTTCTCAAGGTGTAATTGAAATCTAGCGCAGTGTGGCACCCAGAAGGTTGGATTGTCGGCCAGAACCTTCTCGTTCAATGTGTTTAGTAGCGATTGGTAGTCAATAAGTATCTTGGAGAAGAGGCCCGCTTCTTTCGTCAAACGTTGAGCGCGGGTACCTGCTTCCTTCGCATCCTGTATGAAAGCGTTGAGCTTTACAAGTCCGGTGAGAACTTGCCTCGCGACGGACAACAAGCCAGCGATGCTAGCAGCTGCGGCGACTGCTTCCATTTTGCGAGGCTTGGTGCTTTGTCGAAACCCAGCAAAAGGTCTGGAGAGTGGGTGACGGCGGTATTAAGAACGATGGCAGCGGTCAGCCTGATGGTCACCAATGGCATGCACGATGCATGTGTTGGCCATCCTCATTGGACAGCACTCGCTCCTCTGCATTTCTCATGGGGGGCTCGATACAGTCACAGCTTGGGCTGGTCCTTGGCAATTGACTCAGCCTCCATTCGTCGCCTCGCAGGTTGCCTTACGAATGGCGAACGACTCTTTTCGGTGTCTTCTTCCTTTGCATGTTAGCTAATGCTGGCCCCCTGCACTTCGTCTGCGAGAAATCGGAGATCATCAATGCATGATGCCATCGATCTATATATCCATGATTGGATTTCTGGAATTGGAATAGATGTTGCAGGATGCGGTCTTGAAATCAAACGGCACCAAATCATTGGTAAGAGTTTCGGATACGTCTCCCAAAGAGTAATCTGATAGTTCGTCTTGGAAGACTTCCTCAATATCGTATCATTGGTAAACTATCATCTTGAGAGTATTGTCCCTCGTTCCTCGACGCAAAGTCAAAGACGGATTATCGGTCCGAATGCATCAATGAACTCAAACGCTTCAATGCATCTAATTCTTGTGAGAAGGAACATATGAGCGCCAAGTACAAAGGTGAGGTCAAAACCTATATTAGCACAAAGAATTTGTGAAGATGGCCAAGCGTCCTCGAAAACAACAAGAGACTAAAGGAAAATAACTAGCAAGGGAGACTTGCGGATGGCCCTCTCCTTTGTATTCAAAAAGAGAGGACGGTAAGTGATTTTGAACGTGGATGACAGAAGATGAGAAATAAGTGCAAAGACATGTCCACATGAATGAAACAAAAACTGTACAACTTTTGGCAGAAGCTCTCGCAATCCGTTTGGAAACAGGTCTCTGGAAGACGCACTCACCGTATTCAAGTTCAGACAATACCTCTCCCAAACACGACGAGTTGACTAACACAAGTTTGCACGACTGAACCCACAATCTCTTGGACCAAAGCTGCTCAAGACTTCTTGAGCAACTCCCTTAACCAAATGCTACCAAGGTCAAACAACGGCTCCTCAAGCCGTCATCCACCGGCGCAGCAACAAGGGCAGCAGCCATCTACCTTCTCCAACCTAGATGTAGACCTAGGTCCCTTGGAGCAATACAACCGCGATCCACATGATCACGAATTCGGGCCAAAGGGGGAGTATATCGTCCCGCAGGTCCCGGCTTTGCCGAACAACGGCTTCAACGTTCCTGCCCAGGCGGGGCCAGTCACCGCGATGCCCCCCCAGATGGGTCAGTCGCAAGCTCAGTTCCCGGCATACAACTCCATGCCGGGACAGAATCTGGGCCCTCCGCTGGAGCCAGCGCAGTACATGAAGCCCAGAAACCAGCAGCCCAGAAACCAGCAGCTCAACAACCAGCAAAACAACAACAACAACAACCAACAGCTTCGCTGGGCCCGTCCCTACCAGCCCCAGCCCCAACAACCCCTTCCCGAAGCCCCAAGCCAGCCAGGAAAGCGCGGCCGCCCTCGTAAATCCCCCGAAGGAGAAGACGAAGCCCAAAGAGGAGCAAAGAGACCCAAACTCCAGCAACACCACTGGCAACCCGCCCTCAACCGCATCACGAACTCCGCCCAAGTCGGCCGGCACAACCCCGTCGACAACATGTGCGACCACTGCCGCGCCCGCCCCCACGAGAACCAAGGCTGCGACGTCGACCTCGCCAACCAGATCGAGTGCCACCGCTGCACCCGCCACCGCGCCCTCGTCGACCCGAACCACATTTGTAAGGTACTCGGCAGGGAACACTGGCAGAAGCGCTTCGCCAACAGCCGGCCGTCGTATCCCATCCACGAGAATAGTTCGAGCGTCTGCGCGCGGTGTAAGACGCACCAAGGGAGCGGCCGGCATGCGTTGTGCGATATCGATGACAGGGTCAAGATTGGGTGTACGCCGTGTAAGAATGATAATGCGCTGTGCCGGGTGTACGATGAGCAGAAGGCAAATGGTGAGAAGCCGGATGTGGATCAGCCGGCGGAGCTCATGTGGAACCGGCCGGAGGTTGGAGACGGCAGTGTGCCCGAGGGCTGGCGGCCTTGGTGGCGGCAGATGTGCATGGGGTGCCAGCCAGGCAAAGCCAAGGCTTGTTCCTGGATCCGCGACTTTCGGCTGAGGGAGTACAAGTGCACGGCGTGCGTCGAGAAGAATAACCCCTGCGTAGATCCTTGGACAGGGGACACGTACGAGACGCCGTATACCTGGGCTCCCGGGCAGGGCGACAAGATTGTCTACGACAAGGGAACGAAGATCCGAGAGGCCAGACACCGGTGCACCAATTGCTTGGCGAACCAGGCCATGTGCCGGTCCCTCGCCGACGAGGAAGACTTCGCGTGCGTCCGGTGTACCTCGTGGGGCCTGGTGTGCGAGACACCCGGGAACGGGAGCCGGCACCCGTCGCGGCAGCTGCCTTGGATCGATAGGAAGAGGATCGGGTGGTCCGGCTGGACGAAGTGCACGGCCAACGGCAAGGGGATGAAGTTCCGCGGGTGCAGGCGATGCCGGGAGAACGGCTACAAGTGCGATCGCAAGCGGCCGTGTGATACGTGCGTCAACAATAGGGCGGAGGCGGACTGCGATTCGTGGGTGTATAACAAGGATTTGCTTAAACGCAAAGAGACAAATGGTGCGGAGCAGCCGGAGTATTACATGGCTCTCGGGTACGGTCCCAGGGGTGTTGACGATGATCGGATGTTGTGTTTAGAGGAGAATCTCCTCGGGCCAAATCGACCAAGGTATGCGATCATGACGGATCCTGCTGCTGCTAATTCTGCCGCCCCGGCTCTTGCCCCGCCGCCTGCTCCCGTCACGGTTGGAAATCCTCCCGTGGCGGCGCAGCAGGACCCACGTCAGTTCGGAGGTGTCGTCGGCAACGGGCCCGGCGGCGGTGGCATGGCCCCACCGCCACAGCCTATGGCGGCAGCCGGACAACAAGGTTTCGCCGCAACGTTCGCCCCGATGGACTACTACGACCCGGCCTACCCCTACGGCAACCAGGACCACATCCGTAACCAACATAACAACATGATGTACGGCGACAATAACGCGGCCGCCGTGGCAAACGAGACGGGCGGAGGGTTCTCCAACTGGGTGGGCGGTTATAATGGGAGCAATAACCACCAAAATCCCAATGCCCATCCGCCTCCGTTTGAGGGCCAGGCCCAGAACCAGGGTGATATCGAGTATATGATGGGCAATGGTTATGATATAAACCCCGAGGCCCTGGTCCAAATGGCAGAGGAACAGCCGGTCCTCATCCACCCACAGCTCGAAGTCGACCCCGAGCACGAACAATTTGAACTCGCCCGCGGTATCTGCGACTTCATGGCTCAGCTAGCCCGCGACGGCCGCTTCGTGCCCATCGAGCTCCGCAACTTCAACCCGCCCGAAGTAGCCGAAACCCCGCTCGCCGCCCGCATCGGCCCGCCCGCCCTAACCATCCTCGAGCTCACAGACGAAGACGCTCTCAATCCGCCCCGCGAACCACCGGGACCACCAACATGGAACCCGGCCCCCTACGATCCCCAACTCCGCGCCGCCCTCGCACGATGGAAACGCCCGGCCAACAACGTCTTCCGCGACATCCCCGACGCCTCCCTCCTAAACGTCGACGCCCAGCCCGATGACCAACCCTGCGAGGAAGTCAAGCCCGGCGCCCCAGGAAACATCTGCAACGCCCCCGTCCACGACGGCGCCCACTGCGAAAACCTAGAACACGCCGCCGCGCAGCCCAAACCCCACGTCGTCTGCGACGCCTGCGACTTCACCTCCAAGAAACACCTCTTCGAGGGCCAGCAGCCCCTAACGCGCATGGAAGTCCTCAACATGCGCAACTACGCCTGCGGAGGCTGCGCCATCACGCACCAGGCCGACGCGCGGTTCGGCGTCAAGGCGGCCAACGGCCAGTGGGAGTGGCCGCTGTACCCCGTCACCGGCTGCCTCTGCGCCAAGAAGCTTCTCGGCCGGCGGCTGTGCTCGCATCACCGGTACCAGCTCGCGCAGCGGCTCATGATCCAGGTGTCGATGGTGCTCGAGTGGGCGATTACCAACTTTGGACCGGATATGTGTTTGTTTTGTAAGCAGGGCGGCGATCTCGCCAAGGGTGTCGCGCAGGCGCCGGGTAATGGGTATATGGATGATTTGTTGTTTGTGTGCCTCAATTGTGAAGGTACCGTTGCTGGAACCGGCCCGGGCCCAAAGGAGATTGTTCCGGGCGTGCAGCAGTGGATGGGCGGGTGTCATCCGGTTTCCCTCTACTCGGAGCCGTGGTTTCAGACGCCTTTGCCAGACATCGACTGGGAAGCCTAATTGTGCGAATAGGACTTTGGATATCTCATAGTAGACAAGGTTGAGTTAGGGAAAAGAGGAGGTGTTCCGGTTGGCTGTATCTAATTCTTTGGTGTTCTCGAATTTGGTTATGGATCTGGATAGACGCGGATAGGTTGATACCACGGTAACGGTGGAGCGTACATGGCGCATTGCAGGTGTTTCGTATATCCCAGAAAAAAGAAAGCGTTCGGATTCTGACATTTCCGCTTCGGGCCGTGAGATGTTAGCTGGGTGGAGGTAGGGCACACCGTTGAGACTTGGGGGATGAACATGAGATTTCTAGGTGACTCGCAGCTGCATGTCTAAGTTGAGGTAAGGTGACGACGGGCGCCACCGGGCAATTGGGGGCCTCGGGCTATGTATCTAGACGTGGACAGGCAGTCTTGAGGAGAAACTTTGTTGAGAGGTGTCATAGGCGAGTTGCATATGCTCTGGGTTTCGTTTTTGTGCCCTAATGTAGTGACATATTAGCAGCGAACTATAGGTTTCTTATTCCATTGGCATCGGAAGTTCGGAATTTGGAACACTTACGGATAGAGACCTCCTCCTGAGGGCCATCCTTCATATAAGCACCTTATTCCGTACACATCAAGTACTAGCTTACCGATCTATCGTCGCTCAAATCTTCGAGCAAGCTGACCAGCTCATTTCCAGATGACCTCGTTTCATCGTCAGCCATGACATGCTGAGGTATCACATGTCGTAAAACATTGCAAAGGCATCTTGGACAATAGCCATGTGTGCGGAAGAACGCTAAGCCCAAGTGAACGAAATCTCACACAACTCTAGCTCAACCGTTGAAAATCACAGTCAGGGCAGGGTATCACATCTCAGAATGGACTGACGTAAAGGGAATCTGTATGACTTGGCGACTGACTCTGACCTCAGAAAAACCTTGCGGTGTCTCAGAAGAAAGAAGAAATTACAGTATGAAAAGAAAAAAAGGAGTACCGATATAAAGAAGAGACAGAGACAAGCCGATGTTTGGTCTCAAATAGCCCTCCCAGTGTGTGTAGTAAAGAATCTCGAGCCCACCCTCCACAAGGTCTTGCGGCCAACAGTCTCTGGCTGACAGACCAGCCAGTCTGTGAACCCTTTGTTCTCTGCCGCCGCACCACACGATGAGGATCCTGCCAGGGAGCCTTGTGAAAAGGACTCTCTTCTCTTGTCCCCTGCCACGTACAATCGTGTGCGATGACCATGTCCATGAAGTTGCCCTGGAAAGAACAAGTTCCAAAAAGTGCAGCAAGTCAGAACCCGACTCCCCGTCCGATGCAGCACAAACAAGTTTTTGATCATTGGTCCCCCATGTCAACATGTCTTTCTCCAAACGACATTTGCTGGGCCTGCTTGGGCCTGTTCAAAAGTCCAGACGGGGAAGAAACCGTGCGTTCAGCATCAACCAGCGGCATCCACTAGCCCAGTCAAGGCTCAAGGTATCTCACGACTCTCTAGCCGCTTGGTTCGCCACTACCCCCTCCCTCTTGCTCTCTCGCTCTCTCCATTGCGCGCGCTCTCTCTCCGGGTCGAAGTCAAAAAAGGACCGCTCACATTATTACGCACTTGGAGCAGCAGCCTGCCTCTTGCTCACCGCCCTCGATGTCCATGGGCTTCGGGGGTCCGTTGATGCCAGAGGCGCCACCACTGCCGGTAGAGTAGCCCTGCATCTCTCGGTTGTATCGACGGATTTCGCGGACAATATCGTAGAAAGCCTTATCGACGTTGATGCGAGACTTGGCTGATGTCTCGATGAACTTGCATCCAAATGACTTGGCAAGAGCCTCTCCCTCTGTACGGCATATTTGTCAGTCATTAATTCAATCGATGAAATCAACCATCATAGCATGGCCCTATATGCGGGAGGCACTATGATGCAGTGAAGCGGCGCAGCAATCGAAAAAAAAAAAAAAACATACCTTGTCGTGTGACTTCTCTCTCGCCCTCCAAATCGCACTTGTTGCCGACGACGACCATGGGGAAGTAGTCCTTGTCCTTGACTCTGAGGATCTGCTGCTGGAATGTGGTGATTTCCTCAAAGCTCTGGCGCGAGGTGATGGAGTAGACAAGCAGGAATCCCTCTCCCGTTCTCATGTACTGCTCGCGCATGGCGGAATACTCTTCCTGACCGGCGGTGTCGAGAACATCGAGCAGGGCGACTTCCTCGTCAATGACGCACTGCTTGCGGTAGGAATCTGTAGTTGAGGAAGACCAGATTAGTTGGGCGATTGATTCGCGGTCGCATCGACCGGTAGTAGAAGGTTGTTTATCGGGGCGACGTACCTTCAATCGTAGGGTCATACTCGTCGACGAAATGGCTCTGAATCAATTGGATGGTCAAGCAAGATTTACCGACACCACCGCCACCGACGACGACCAGCTTGTACTCTCTCAAGAACTGCGAAAGGATGACGGGTTAGTAACGGGTTGATGGAGGCGACGAAGACGAAGCAAGGATTGAAGAACGGGAGATCGCGCGACGACGCGAGGACGAGGACGAGAGCGAGGGCGAAGAATACAACGAACCTTGGACGCCATTGTGCTGTGATGATGTGTTGATTGTTGGTTGTTGATTGATGATTGAAATCTCGACGGTTCTTGTTCGCGCTCGATGTTGATGACTTGAAGCAGCTGCTGTTGAGGTGAAGATACGGGCGAGATCCGGGAAACAGTCAGGAGCAGCCGGGCGATTGGCGTCTCGACGGATTCGGAAAGGGCTCAGCGAGTTGGATTTGGCGAGGTGCGTGAGCGTGAACGTGGGATTGAAAGGAGTGGTTTGGCAGCGAGTGAAACGACGAGTGGGAATCTGGGTCTGGGACGGCACAGGCCGGATTGCGAAGTTTAAAGGTGAAACGACGAGGTCGATGGCAGAAATCCGGGACTGACAGCAGACAGTCTTTCGAGAAGGAGAATGAGAGAATGGGCACAAATGGGGTGGTGTTTCGTTGTTGCTTAGGGGGGGGCTTTTTGGCAAAATGTGGAGATGGGGGAACGGGTCGGTCCAGTCGTAAGGAAGGAAGGACCTGCACTTTGCCTCTGCTCCTGCCTCCTGGCGCTGCTGCTTGGTGCTGTGTGCTGGGGCAGGTGCGGGTGCGTGTGTGCTCCTGCTCTTGCTCTCTGCTCTGCTCTGTTCTCCTGCTAGGTGCTGAAGTGGACAGGAGGAAGGGAAGGTACGGAAGGGAAGGTACGAAGCTGAGGTGCCGATTAAGCATACCGGGGTACCTGCTCTTGCAATAGCTGCACGGAGAAAATCGCAGTACACCCACTCACTCCACACGTTGTATCTTTCCTTACATCGGCCTTCCCTGCCGTCCCTCCCTCCCAGCTCCCCTTCGCTCTTTCCCGCGCCTTACTTTTTTTTTTTTCTCTCTTCCCTCCTGGGCTCCTTCCACCCTCACCTTCTCCCATTGCCAGACGGGCATGGCAAGGAAGGTGCTGTATCCGTTCATCCACCTTCGTCCAGAAACGGTACGTAACTTCAGGGCAGACAGTAAAGTGCCTCTTTCATCACACTGGGGGAGGGGGGGCATGCCACACACTCTCTCTTCTCATCTCTCAGTCTCTTTCACATTAGGACGGAATTAGAGGTGACGGGAGAGGTGAGAGGTGAGTGAGAGAACGAGGTGAAGCCTAGGACGAGTTGGACAGGGTGTGCCTGTAAAGATTCCATTCCATCCACCTCAGTTCTGAGCAGTGAGCACGTCTGGTTCCGTCTGCTTTGGTCACCTCAGGGCTCACAGCAAGGTACTGGACTGCTTGCTCATCTTGCCCTCCGCCGGCCTTGTCTCGTCTGCCGTGCCCGGCCAAGTCGACACGGGCGTGCCACCAGGTCTAGCCAGGTCCTTTTTGCCGTCCGTCGCGCACTTGTTCTTCATCTCTTACCAAGTTTACCCCCCCTTCTCATGAGACGAGAGACACAATGCGCGCGGCTTCTGTCACACTAGGCGCTCTCTCGATCGCGCGGTCTCCGATGTCAGGTATCCAAGCCAAGACATCTCGACATCTTGTGTGTCTGGTTCGTCACCTCTCTATTTCGTAGTGGACAGGAGCGGTTGGCTGGCACCGGTTTGGCGTTTAGCGCTGAGCCTATGATTTGACGACGACCTGGGAGACTTAGATCGCAGAAGGCTCAGGCACACACCCTCACCAACGTCACTTACACTGCCTCCGTCCGTTCCATGCCTCGTGCGAACTTTGAGGTACGCGACGTGCGCTACGGATACATTAGGCACATGTCGGGCCAAGTGAGAGCAGATCGATAACGACTTCTCTTGTGGAAGCGCTATTTGCGACCGAGGCGTCTTCCATTACCAATCACTTGAATGGTTCTATGGGGCCCGTCTAGAAGGAAAGGGGGCAATTACAAAAGATTGACAAGAGCCTGGGGTTGCAGTGATGGTTGATAGTGATACTGATAAACGCATCCCTCCATTGGTTGTACCGGGCTATGTACGGACACATCGTGGCAAAGATGAACAATCCCATCAAACAAAGGGAATTGGCAAGAAAAATTAGACGATAATACCGAGGGCTCGAGTGAAGGTGAGATTTGACCGGGGATGGGAAAGAGGGACTTGCAAGTGGGAGTTTATCGCGGCGACCTTCTGGTGCAGTAGCGTCGGATGCAGCAGGGGGGTCCCTTGGAACCATAAAAAAGAGGCCCGGTGCAGACGCCTGCAGATGCCCACCAAGCAGCGAAGCGGCCGAGGGGGGGAGGGCCATTGATGAAGTGCAAGGGGGAGAAGACGCGCAGAAACGATGGAATAAATTGGTGAGTGGACAAAAGGGAAAGAAAAAAGAGGGGTGGCGTCGTGTGCGGTTCGTGCGAGTGGGAGTGGAACTGTGGAACTGTGGAAGCGAGTGGGAGCGAGATGGGGGATCCCACCTCAGGCACCAGGAGGAAACGGTACGTAGCTATCTGACAGGGGAAAGGAACGAGCTGCAAATGCGAGTGAGTGCCCCCCCCCCAGCGGCAATTCTCAAGTGCTGACAGGGGCAAGAACCAGAGGGAAAGGTGGGGTAGATGCACTTAAGCGTCAAGCTTGAAGTTTTCTTCCACTTCTGTAAGCTATCAAGATCGCGCTCAGCGCATCTTTCACTTAGTATTGTCTTCACCTGGAAGTGAGGTGAATCATGCAGATATCTTCTCACTATGAGGGTTAAGTACAGTTAACTCCTCTGCGTAAATGACAGCGCGGGTAGCCCTGAACAACGAGGTACGCAATCATCGGTCTCTTCACCGCTTCCGTTGTGGTGCCATGGCGTATTGCCTAATACAATGTCCGGATATAAGCCCCGGTTCTTCGGTCACCTCATCAGAACAGAAACCCGATGTGAGAGCAGCGAAAGGACGTATCGCATCTTGCGGTTCGACAGCTCCACACTTCTGATTACAGTAATAATACGGCGCAGAACACGGCAGGATAGGATATATCAGATTCTACCTTGCCTAAGTTACTTACAGACTCGTGTGCCATTGAGAGGGTTTGAGCTTTAGCAATTAGACTCCCTGTCACCGATACGTGCTCTACCTTGCTATATGGCGGGAAAGTCTGCTGCGGTCTTACTCTTAATAAGACCAAAGAACAGGAAAGAGACCGCATCTGAGGCAAGTCGAGATGCTCAAGTCGACCTTGTCCGCGGCCTGCTGCGGCCGATGGTGACGCGTAGGACCAAGACATACACCTAGGTCTCACCAACTTGCGTCAGAGGTTGCAACACGCTTTTCGAGACAATCTACTACTTCGGAACGACTTCTGACCATACATCTGAGAAAGATAGTTGACGCGTCTTCTTCACTAAATGACCAAAATGGTGTGCATTTGGTTCAATCCGGGGTGTCTCCGTCCCGTCGTCATATCTGAGATGAGCTTCATAATGAGCCTCCTCGGAGACAAGACCGTATGTAGTTAAGAGGGTTGAAGCGTGAGTGGTTCCTTCCTGCAGGCTGCAAGCAAAGAGCTTTGACCACGTGGGTCTCATGGCTTGTCCTCCTGTCCTTCGCACTGTACGTATCCGTACAACACCAGACAGGTGCGGCAGGTACCAAGGGTAGGAGGATTTGTATGTGCCAATGTGGACGGCAAGCGTGATGCCATGCCTCCAGCCTTGCAACTCTTGCACCCTCAGTATTCCGTATCCGCCTCATAAACTCTGCGCTTTACACAACCTTGCCTTACCTTACCTCACTTTACCTATATACGGATACAATACTGGCTTTGTGGTCCAGACCCCGAATCGGATGACCTTCTTTACTGATCCGAGGTTGAATGAGCTCCCTCAAGCAAGCTGAAAGGAAGTATCCAGATACGTATCCGTACACTTGTTTCATTCTGTCACGAGTTTCGCTGGCTTCCATTAGCCCAGTATCATCCAAATAGCTGCGAATGACCTATTTCGCTTGTCAGCAGCCGAACCTTCTTTACCTCCTCTCAAAGGATTGCTGAACCAATTCAACAACAATCGATGAGCCACCTACAGGCTGCAGCTTTTGACGCCTCACCATGGACCAGGTGCCGAGCATACGCGAGAAAAGCGAAATCGCCACCTCCTAAACTCTCCCCACTACAAGTCCGTCTGCTTGCGGCAGCGCCTCGCGCCGAATTGAGCCTCTTCGGGATCTCCACGTCCACGTGGATCTCCGTTGTATAGCCCGCTCTTAGAACGACGTTCGTATCGCTCAGGGCATCTACAACACAGTAGCTTAACAGCGCACTTTGCTCTCGACCGATCTTTATGCCAGTTCGTGGCGCAGAGGCTGGCTCAGCTCAACTTACACACATCCCATTCCAGCCAACTTCGGCCCGGAGGTCACGGAGATTCCGTGTGAGAGTTTCTAGCACATGCTCCCTTCCACCGCCGCACCCGTCACCCCAAGAAATCAATCAAAGACGCCCTCGTCTACGCATGACAGCAGTAAGGGACGACGCGCTGGAATGTAGAATGGCATCCTGACTAGTTTTCACCTGAGGGTGCATGGCATCGTCTGAAGTTACCAGCCGGCGCAGATAACTTGGTACGGATACAGATATGTTGTCGAGATACAGGACCCTGGGGCAACGTGTTGGACACTATGTCACAATCCGGCAGTTCTCAACCGACGTTGTGAACCCCTTGCCACCTCATGGACGAATGCCTGCCAGGGGTTGAATGCAGCTATTACCTACGGACAGAGTTGGAAATTAGTTTAGTTTAGTTTAGTTTAGTATGTGCCATACTAGTCTAGTTTAGTATAGCCCATACGCATACTAAACTAGCCTAGTATTAGTATACTAGCTAGTATATTAATTACCAAAATTCTTAAGTAATAGTTATATAAAAATTAATTTATATTAACTAGTTATAACTATAAAAGTTTATTTAATATATTACATTCTTACTTATAATTATACTATATCCTATATATTTAATTTAGTATAACTATACTAATACTAGTAGTATTTTTTTCCAACCCTGCCTACGGATACAAAGGCCCCCTCAAGCGGCTTTGCTTCACCAAGCCATTGCAGATCCTTGTACAACGGCACACGCGCATTTACCAGACTACCACCGCATCTAACCCTTGCCAGCGTACGCCGTAGCCCAAGAAAACCGAGCACCTCGCGGTGATGGTGACACCCGACAGCTCAAGCAGGAGCGCGAGGGGAATCACGATTCATCAAAGCTCCTTGGTCGAGACGGATCGACAAATTTGTCCGCACACCACCTACTATGACTATTTGAGCCCACTTACAGATACCTCTCAACTGTCTTGATCAGTGTTGTTAAGCCGGCTTGAAAGGATTCTTGCTGGACGTCCAATCATGGGCACGGCTTTCGTACCTAGGATATGGTGAACATGGAACGCGGTTCCCAGTGAAAAAGAGACGAGGGGCAAATTGTTGCGATCCGCTCATTGTATCTTCGTACGGAGCACTCTGCAGACTGCACAGTAAATCCGTACTTGGGCCAAACCGCAGTCAGCGCTTGCTTGAACCCCTCAAGTTTCCCGTTTCAACGGCGCAACTGGGACTACTGCACCCCAGCCTTCAAAGTCGCGAAGAGCTTCTGTCATTATGACAGAATGGGTCGAGCGTGCACCTGTCCAAAGCATACCGAAGCTTCTCAATGCCATGGAACCCGACGTCCACATAACTAAACTTTAGCCGCAACCACACCCCAAACTACGGACCGAAACGATGTTGCTTCCACCTACATCCCTTGCATCCCGGGTTTGAGCCAAGACGCCTAGCCCTGACATCTGAACTTTGGCTTGCTTGCTTCTACCATAACTCAACGCCTTGGCTTGACTCCTACTCTAGTCAGACAGCCGCCAGCCACGTTGCGTGGCCCACGTCAGATCTCCCCAGTTTTGACCATGCAACGCACAGAGAGCACCAGTTCACGACATCCTCTTCGTCGATCGAGAGACAGTCCCTGGCAGTGCTTGGTAGCTGCTGATGGCTCTGACGCGAGGCAGCTTTGATTCGTTCACGGCAACGCTTCAAGGCCATAGCGCATGAGTAGTCGCGGTATTTGGACTGGCCCAAACTCACACTGGCTCTTGCGCCGCCCGAGCTGGCATGGCCCGACCGGCAACTTGTCAAGACAGCGCTGATCATCTTCCCACAAACACTACTCCGTACCATCAACTAGGTCGATCTCTGGCGACACTGCGCTCAGATCGCTTCTCTTCGTCTCTCCGCATGTTTCCATGCCTTCAAGTGGAGGCAGCTGGGGCGTTCTCGGGCCATGTCTCTCTGCTTCTTGGGTCTAGCACTCTGGGCTGTTGTAGGTAGTGTACAGCCACCTGCCGAAGCAACGGTGTAAGTCATGTCAAGTGGATCTACTGGTCGAATCAACCATTTTCGCATGTTGAAGAGCTTCGAACATTATTCGCTCCACGGCGCATATCTTTTCAAACAACCACAGAGATGCCCGGTCGTCACCAACACCAGCATCTAAGCCACATTCGGAATACCCCAGGATAGCAGACTACCAATACCCCAGGTTTAGGCGCAGCCACAAATTTCCTTACCGCCACATCAGTGTCCGAAAGGAGTTCAAGCCTGCGAGGGTTCACGTTGGTTTCTAGAAGCTTGGCCTCTGGAAGCATGGCTGCCAGGGTAGAACGGCGAATAGGCACAACACCAGTCAGGAGTACCTTGCACTATCGCCTCCATGAGGCCATTGAACAGGAGGCGGCGATAGTCTCGTGTCGTCCTTTCATCCGCGCCAGGCTATCTTGCCCAGCAATGGTCTCTTCTCGGACCGTGCTTCACCAAACCGATTTGATTTCCACGAGATTTTTTGGAGAACCTATCCCAAGCTCGGCCAAATGCACAGTGCGACACGAAATGGAGGGATGAAGTTCCGGACAGGCCACTTGATGGATGGCCAATCCATGTCCGGAGGGCGACAATGCGACGACTGGGTTGTAGTCGCAGACATGCTTTTGTGGAGCATGAACTGACCTTCCATCGATTCTCGAGTCTTGACATTCGGCTGACTCGATGCAACAGGCATAGCGTGGCCGAAGTGGTTGCTGGAAGTCTCAAGAGGTTTCCTCAGCCATGGGGAAGCAGAGTCGTCGATAAGGATCCGCGAGCGACGGCCCCGTTGTGCCGTCACGAGACGGAGGTGTAGCCAAACGTTGTCGAGAACCGTGAGAGATAGCACCGGGCCCCAATCCACAGCTCATCTCCTGGCGAAACGGAGCCAGTCTCCAATCGGTAGGTACGTGCCAGCATATCTCGCTCGCGGGCTGCCCTCATAATTAGCAATTCGAGAACTGCAGGCCCGTGGTGTGTTGAACAGCTGCAACAGAAGCTCGTCATTCTAGAAGCCCTGGGGGATCATTTCGATCCACCCCTGACCTGCAACAGTGCAATCTGCACCCAGAGCGTGGTGGTCGAGGCGGCGACCCGTGCAGGGGAGGCTCTTGGCTCCTGGCAAGCGGCGCCATCGTCTCCGACAAGGGGTTGACAACGATCTCTTGATCTTTTGGACTAGAATGCGCATAGGTACGGATACAACGTGTGAACGCTATCGAGTCTCCAGCTGCATCTGCCTTGCATCGTGGTTTGGCTGTTGGCCGTGGATCATGGATGGGATTCATACCATGCAACGCCATATCTGTCTGCGATCATGGCCATGGACGATAATCTCTTCTCAGAGCTCTGCCATCGTCTCGAATTGGGCCCATTGAAAGGGCCCCACCATGTGCCCGGGTGCGGTCTCCGCGCCTCCACAGGTCAGATCGTGAAGTCTCTTGAAGAGTTTGACAGCGAACACATCATTGATAGTTCATTGATGATGTAGACATAGATTGGCAACTCATCCAAATCGGGCGACACTTGGAGTACGTGATATTTTCCACATGAAGACGATCTCACATTGGTCAAGTTACTTTTGGCTGCTCCAGTATCGGAAAGCGCATCATCCTGGAATTGATCCGCAAACACTTTATATTTCAGATGATAGAGTTACGACCGGAAGTCCCGAGGAAGATTGTTATTGCCGCAACAGGGCCACTTCTTTCGGGATCGTGGGGGTTGCTATGATCTATCTGATTTGAGTTTGAAGTTTTGCTGACATCATTCGAGATCTTTTCCTGCTTCGCCCTGGGTATCATCCTCACCCTCCGCGTTTACACGCTTACCTTCGACGCCTTGAACAACCTCGGCAACGATGCTCTCGATATAAGCCTGGTCCCTGTAGCAAAATGAACAAGTCAGCCATCCGAGTTCGAACTTTGAAGATGGAAACATTCCACAGCTGTGCACTGCGGACACGGTTACTGTTGCGCGATTCGCGGCTGATCACTTACCTTCCAACCAGCGTCACTGTGCCGTTCTGACCCCACCGAGGGTAGCTGCCGACCTTGACGCCCTTGGGTTCGACCTTGGCCGCAAATTGCGTCAAGAACCCGGCAACAGCGCTCTCCGGGAGCGGAGTAGAGATGAGCACGCGGCAGAGACCCTTGCCCTTCGGATCGGTGAGTCGGGGCACGATGCCCGGCTTCAGTCCGTCGAGGAGCTTCTCGACTATCACCCCGCACACGTTAGATCAGAACCATCTCGGGAGACGTCTTAATGAGAACTTACATAGTCGCGGGACGCCCGGCAAGATGTGAATGTTGCCGTTGACGACGTTGACCGGCACCCAGAGGTCCTCGTGGGGGAAAACGAATTGCTTCTTGGGATCACGCTTCTCGTCGGTTGGGAGGACGACCATGCGCAGCTTCGCCTGCAGGGCGGGCGAGTCGACGTCCCAGTCAAAGTTTGGCTGGCCCGGGTGCGGCTTGGACAGCTTCTTCATCTTTTCAAAGGCTTCCTGGTTCAGGACGAGGGGGAGGCCAAAGGCCTTTGCTATTGACTGGTAGGTGATGTCGTCGTGTCTGTCAAACCAGTCAACCATCAAGTCTCACGGCATGGTTTGGATTCCATGTTTTTTCTTACGTTGGGCCGATTCCACCGCTGGAAGTAGTATATTAGCTGGGACCCTGGTTGTCATTGAGGTTTGAGGGAATGTACCTGGTTACCACGAAGTCGTACCGATCGCTCATGCGCCTGACGGCTTCGACGATTTCGCTCTCATCGTCTTCGATGACTTCGACTCTCTTCAAGTTCTACCCTTAGGGTCAGCCACACTCCCCGGTAGCACTCGTTGCACTTTTGAGACTTACAATGCCCAAAGAGAAGCACCACTTGGCCATGTAAGCCGAGTTGGTCTACGATGATCGGTTAACACGGTTTGAAAACCACGAGACTGCTTGCCAGTCTGGTTGGCCATTTACTCACATCAACCGTCTACGAAATACGATGAATTTGTCAGCTTTTTATTCAGTCTACATGGCAGCTGGCCGGGTCCCGTTATTAAAGGACTTGTCCTCACCTTTCCGCCGAGGACTTCATCTCCGATAATGAGACACGCCGCCGTGTGAATCGTGCGGGTGTTGCGTTCGTCGGCCGAAACCATGATTCTGCTGCTGCTGCGGGCGAAGCTGGAGGAGGAGATTGGGAAGGCCGCGGGCTTGACGGCTTGTGTTATCGATTGGGCCGAGGGTAGATGCCGAGACAGCTGGCTGAGTCGCGCGAACATGAAAAGGCAATGACCCCCCGACTTGGTTGGTATATGCCGTTTAGATAGAGAGGGGTGCAGGTGTGTGTGTGTGTGTGTGTGTACCTCTCTCTAACTGTGTCTACGCAGCTTATTTCGAACCGATGGATTTTCGTCTCACAAAAGTCGATGATGTCATATGTTGAAAGGAAAAAAGAAGGTTTTTGGCGGAAGGGGAGGAGATGTCACGACAGACGGTAAGGTTTACGGCAATGGGGGGCAATGGGGTGATTAGAGTGGGAATTGCTGGTTCGGAAAAGAGAGATGGCAGGGTCTCTCTTTTGGGTACGGGCCGTGGGAGGAGGACGAGAGAGCGAAAGGCGTCAGAAGGCACGAATCAAATCATGAGATGCGGGAGCTCTTTGGAGGCTCCGAGCTCCGGTTCGGGGCGAGCGGAGGTATTGGCTTGCGATAGGGCGGACGGTGCTGCGGTGGGTGAGATCACGTGACTGCCTGCTCTCTTCAATATCCAGGAGTTCAATAACGCTGCTGATGCGTCCATTGTCAATCATCAACTCCCGTTGATTTGATATTGATCTTTCAAGAGAAGTGCTTGAAGAATAGCCCCTGTGTAGTCCTTGTACTTTTATGTTTACCATTTCTTGACATATTTTCCACCTGAAATTAAGAAGGAGATGAGAAGCTGAAAACTTGCTTACTTCCAGAGGACAATGATAACGGCATTCTAGGTAGAGGAAGAGTGAAGGTTATTGATACGTTCAAAGATCAGACAGATCAGATCTAGTCAAAGTCAGGTTATTAGAACTGTAAGGTACCTAAGGTATGGCTTACACCGGCAGATAATCGGAGGGCGATTTGAAAGCTCGCGTCCGGCGGGTGGGTGGGTGAGGTCATTGGGTGGGGCCCGCCCAAATGGCGCGGGGCTTTCGTTGCGCTGGTCTCAACTCCGTCGGAGGCGGGGGAGGGGTGGCTTGACTTTTCGACCTGACGTTTCTACGCAGTAGAGAAAGGTATTTGCGACAAGCTAGCTACCTCGCCTTACCAAGAACCACCAAGGACCCTTGGAAAGATTGCTTCATTTCTGTAGACGATAGCGTGGTTTCTCCGAGCTTTTCTGGTTTCGTTACGTTCTTGCCTCTACCATTGCATTATCTCGAACAGGGCTCGCTCCCACAGCCATGGTGCGTAATCAAGCTTTCCCGTCGCATTTACAACTATCACTAGAGAATCCAGATTGATCAACCCTATTGCACCTTTAGGCCTCCGAATCGCGGCTCTACACCTTCTCTCAGGAGACAAAGGACCACCTGCGCAAGTTCCGTCTCGGAACATCGCGGTCCAACGATGCTCAAGCTGTCATATGTATGTATGTCTCCTTTGGGTCCAACACATGCCCGGCGGATATATGCGCGCCGGACCAAGTGTATCCTAGATGCTAACTTTGTTCTACCACATAGACTACATCGATAAGAACACGCACGAGATCAAGCAAGACGAGGACAAGGCCGTGTACAAGTCTCTCGAGGAGATTCGCGACGAACTCCCGGACCACAGCCCGCGCTTCATCCTGCTGAGCTACCCGCTTACACTGGTATGGTCTCTACCCACTCGAAGCTTTGTTGCGATATCTATGACGGGGAGAAGAGAAACCCTCATGGCTAACGAATCGGTGTCCCCGCAGCCCTCCGGCCGCCTGTCGGTCCCGTACGTCCTGATCTACTACCTCCCCATTACCTGCAATAACGAGATAAAAATGCTCTACGCCGGCGCCAAGGAGCTGATGCGAAATACGAGCGAGGTCGGTCGCGTGATTGATATCCAGGAGGCTGAAGACCTGGAGGAGATACCGCAGCAGTTGGGCGCTGAGTAAAGAAGAGGAGGCATGAACTTGGAAAAAAAAAAAGGAGATGACATGAGGCATGAACATTTGCAAGGCGGGGAGTACACTTCTACATAGACAGTTGAAGGGGGGGACCACAGGCTTGGCCCCGTTCATGATGAAGAACATGGCGGCAGTATGCAGCATTTCGCGTACATAATACAAGTGCTTTGCCGATACAGCTTATTCGTGAAATTTTGATGGATATCTTTCTTGTTTTATCTCCGTCGTTGAACATGCGTTTAAATCATGACCAGGCAGTCGGTACCTTGCCCTCGTCTCCCATTCAGTCCTCCGGCAACACGTCCTTGTCATTCAACCCCATCTCCTTGCTCACATTCCTCACCACCTCCTTGAACGCCAAACACGCAGGGCTATCAGGGAAACTATCAAAGAAACTCTCGCCATAGTCGCACGCCATCCCGATCCGCGGATCCAGCGGCACGCTCCCCAAAAACGGCACCCCCATCTCTTCAGCCAGCGCCCTTCCGCCGCCCGTCGTCGCGCGGAAGATCTCGCTCTGGTTCGTACACTTGGGACACACGAAGCCCGCCATGTTCTCCGCGAGACCGAGGACGCGGATGCCCGCCTTGCGGCAAAAGTCAATCTCCTTGCGGACGTCGAGGAGCGAGACCTCCTGCGGCGTGGTGACGACGACGGCGCCGTCGATGCCGCTGTCGCGGAGGAACGTGTTTACGCTGAGGTGCTCGTCCGAGGTTCCGGGTGGTGTGTCGACGAGGAGGAAATCGAGGGGTCCCCATTCCACGTCCTTGAGGAACTGCTTGATGAGGCCGTTCTTCTTGGCGCCGCGCCAGATGATGGCCGCGTCGCGGTCGGGGAGCATGAACTGGATGGACATGACGCCCAGGTTATCGAGGACCCAGACGGGGGACCAACCCGCGCCGGAGACGTGGATCGTCTCGGCTTCGACGCCGAGCATTTTCGGGATCGAGGGCCCACAGATGTCCGTGTCCATGACGCCGACGGCGCTGTCCGGGTTCGTGGCGAAGGCGTGGGCGAGGAGGGTTGTGAAGGTGGACTTGCCGACGCCGCCTTTGCCTGAGAGGACGAGGATCTTGTGGGCGATGCCGGCGAGGCGGGAGGCGATGATGGGTATGTCTGGGTCCGGGCCTTTGACGGCGGTGGCAGCGCAGATTTCCTTGTTGGGGCAGCCGGCGCAGGAGTCTGCTGTGCCGGCGGCGGCGGATTCTGGGCCGGGGCAGTGTTCTGGTTCTGGGGCGACGAGGGAGGGTTTTTGTTTGAGGGGGTTGGCGAGGACGTCTTGGACCGCTGAGTCGGGGTCCGCCTCCAGGGAGGGGCCATCTTTGGAGTTACGCGCTGGTTTATGTGAGATGTGATGCGGGAATTTGCTGGGTTTATGAGGCGGAGGGGATTGTAAGGGATGGGCCGTCAGAGACTATCAGTTATTGTGAGAATGGAAGAGGCGTGTGTGGATGAGATGGACGAAGATGTCTTGAGGTTGGAGTCTTGGTCCGGGACCGGCGATGAGGTGAGGCCAAGCGAGGTGAAGTTGATTGATAAGCCGGTTCTCAAAGAGCGGTCCTGTGGCGACGGTCAGGATCGGTGCTGGTCACAGGATTTAGGGAATATGATGGATACTAACAGGTGACTTGATCAGGGTTTTGGAGGTTTATTCTCAAAGAAGCCGGAGCTTATTGCTGGTTGATAGGCTGAGTTGTATCTCAGATGAAGGAGAGAGCGGTTGACAAAATGAGTTGCTATGAGTGGTGGTAATACCGCCTCCAAAGTTCGCCGCGGTTACAAACCCCACTTAATAGAGTCACTCTCCAACACTGAAGGTTTGCTGATGTAACGAACCAGAAGCTAAACTTTACAAGACTGACAGATGGCACTGGAAGGAAGCAAAAAAAGCACAAAAACCATTATAAGCTGCCCCGCCATCAACGATACAACAGCATCTTGATGTATTGCATGCCGGGACAAAAGATGAGGTCCATCCAGGATTCGAACCTGGGCCTACGGAAGGTTCTGAAAATCAGAATCCGACGTCCTAACCAACTAGACTAATAGACCGATAACACCTATTGATTGTTGGAGGCATGACCCGAACCGACGCGCTATCATTGAAGCAGCGGTGGGTTGAGAGACCCGTAGCATTACGTACGTAGTGGGCGAAATGCGCTCTCAGGTTCTCAGCTGGCTCGTTTTCTGCAGGAAATGCAGCTGTGGACGCCGGGACGGGGCTGCAGGGTTCTCTTTTCAGTGAGGGGCAGATCTTATCGGGTCCCAATCACCCCGCTATGCCCCTCGCAAAATTTCTACAGCCAGCCCGACTTTATCAGATCCGACGGCAAGAGACCACCCCTCGGAGGTAAGTCTTAGTCCATTCCGCTCTCCTAGAATACAATCGGCCCACGCCCTCTTCTTTTTTCTCCCGTTCAAGCCTCATTTTGAGTCACTACAAACTTTCATTGACGGCATTGTTGTCACTCTCTTTCAGTCTTTCAGAACAATAAGATACCCTAGTTTTCGCAACCCCCTCAAAAACGCAACAATGTCCCCCTCCGCCGACCTCCCCGAGACGCGCGAGACGCTTGAGGCCATTGCCGCCGCCGACCAGTCCCAGACCATCGCCGAGCTGCGCAAGACGCTCACCTCCGAGACGACCCCCCTTCCCATCCGCTTCCGCGCCCTCTTCTCCCTCAAGCACGTCGCCTGCAACAGCAAGGGCGCCGATAGCGAGGCCGCCATCGAGGCCATCGCCGCCGGCTTCGCCTCCCCCTCGGCCCTGCTGAAGCATGAGCTCGCCTACTGCCTCGGCCAGACGGCCAACCTGGTCGCCGTTCCTTACCTGCGCAATGTCCTGACCGATCTTCAGGAGGACCCCATGTGTCGCCACGAGGCCGCCGAGGCCCTGGGTGCGCTGGGCGATGCCGGCCAGTTGGACATCCTGAGGGAGTACAGGGATCGCAAGGGCGAGGATATTTGCATTGTTGAGACGTGCGAGATTGCCATCGACCGTCTCGAGTGGGAGAACTCTGAGCAGAGAAAGCTGGAGAAGTTGCGCAAGAGGTAAGAGAGCTTTCACGTGGCACTGGAACCCGGTGCATTGTCATGGGGGAAAGAAGGGGGGTATCGTAATCCACTATGCTAACGCCTATGCCCTCGTGCTTTACAGCGACTTCACGTCAGTAGACCCCGCTCCTCCCATGGAAGAGTCGCAGCGTACCGTACCAGAGCTCGAAAAGACCCTCATGGACTCGAAGCTGCCCCTTTTCGTGCGCTACCGCGCCATGTTCGCTCTGCGCGACCTCGCGTCGCCGCCCGACCTGCCGACCGCCGTCCCCGCGGTGCTGGCCCTCGCCAAGGGCCTCGCCGACTCCTCCGCCCTGTTCCGCCACGAGATCGCCTTCGTCTTTGGCCAGCTGTCGCACCCGGCCTCCATCCCCGCGCTGACCGAGGCGCTCAGCAACACCGAGGAGGCGAGTATGGTGCGGCACGAGGCCGCCGAGGCGCTGGGAAGCCTGGGTGACGAGGAGGGCGTCGAGGCGACGCTCCTCAAGTTCCTGCACGACAAGGAGAAGGTTGTGCGCGAGAGCGTCATCGTGGCGCTTGACATGGCCGAGTTCGAGTCAAGCGGCCAAACGGAGTATGCGTTGATTCCCGAGGCGGCCAAGGCGGCTGCTTGAACATGTGGAGGTCTTTTTTTGGTTTTGGAAACGTTGGGTCGGGCAGGTAAATATCGGGTGGTATTAGGTACTTAAAAGCGACGGGCAAAAAGTTTAGTGCATTTCAGTTGTTATGAGACCACCTGGAAATAAATCGGTTAGTATAAAGAGGGAAAAGCTAGCTCGGTCGGAATGAAAAGAGGCATTGGCGTACTTGAAACCGCATTCACAGGTGAAGAAAATGGTGCTGCCTTCGTCGGCACTGCGGAGCTGCACGGCAGTGAAGCGGACCTCCTCCGCGCCGCACTTGGGGCATGTCTCCCTGATCGTGGCCTCGGTGTTGACGTTGGCCCTGTCGACGGCCTGGACGTTGGACTGGAGTTTCTGTCTGAGGTGCGAAGGGAAATCGGAAGGCTTGGTCTGAGTCTTAATCGTCTTGGTGCCAGTGTCTGAATCGATTTTGTCAGTTTAAAGTCTTGCGCAGCATACTGAGTGTGCGCCAGCGGTGATCGGCCTACCCTTGTTATCGGCACCGCAGCAATTGCAGGTGAGGGTGTTCTTCTGCGTGCCCATTGACGCGGGCAGAAGGTTACCGCAATCGGTGCAGAAGACGAGGGTTCCAATGGCGGACATGGCTGCGGTGGGATCGGTATGTGTTTTGAATCGAGGGCCTATGGGAGTTCGGTGGGTGTGGTGATCGACGGAGTATCGCGGCAGACAGAAGCCGACAAAATATTTCTGCGAAGAATTTCGGACAATCGGTACCTCCTTATCGTTATCTTTGATCTTATCGATTGTCTTCTGTTGTCCGTCGTCTCCACCCGCGGGAGGAGTATTATGTAATCCAGCTACAGGCGGCCTACTGCAGACTGCCAGGTGCGCGAGACAAAGAACCTTGGAAGTGCCAGGGGAAACAGGAAAGAACGGAACAACTGGCCACTGGTTGGCCGCTCCTACCGCCTAAAGCTTCTGCACGGACCACGCGACTGGACAAGGGTCCTTCCACGCGAGGCTGTCGCAACCTTCCGACCTTCTCATCACATCCACGACGACAACGACGACGCCCGATCGCAAGAGATCGTCCTTTCCCAAGTGCGACATTTCGGCCAGGGACTATGCGACAGACGCCTTTCTCTTCTGCCTGACCTTTTAGTCTCATTCGTTCGCAACCTCCTCGACCCGACAAGCGATTCTTCCTCCGCTGCGCGTTCCCACGTCCGAACAACCTTGCCGATCAGTTTCGCCAGTGGCTTCGAATCTCCGTCCTCCTCACGAAATAACATGTCTTGAGGTCCGGAATAGGTCCGAGGAGACAGAAAAAATGGTCAACAGCCAGGGGTCCGTCCAGAACGGCCCGCCCAATGGTGGCTATATGCAGCCGCAAGCTGCAGAACAACGTCCGATGGCCAGACCGTTTACGCTGTCTGAGGCCCTGCCTTACTCTCCTCAAACCTCCGTCATTCCCTTTACCTCAGGTTGGTGGCTATCTTTGTCTGTATCTGAGGTCGCCCGGCTAATTGACATGGCTCAGATCTCATTCCCGATCCGACACTTGGCTCTGGCTCTCTTGCTTCGAGCATCTCGCAAATGTTCAGCAGTCAGGAATTCGACAGCCTAAACAAGGAAGCAACGGGACAAAATCACAACCATGGAATGAAGCACCTGAAATATGCGGTTGATCACGTACTTCATGATCTGAAGCCCAATCAACGGACCTACTTGTGAGTTGAGCACTGCTATACCTGAGTCCACTATTGTCTAACACCCGTGTTTTGCAGCAAGTTCAAGACCGTCCCCAAAGCGAACCCGAATATGGCGAATAGTCCAGCAGGATCTTTCCAGAGTCTGAGTGCTGGTCTCTCCCCGGTGGCGAAGATGGTGTTCGATAGGGCTCCCACATTCGTCAAGCCTCCGGGAGCATCGAGTACTGCCTCAACCTCCGCCAACGGTCAGCTTGCTCAACAGCCGCAGCAACAACCTCCATCGACACCCAAATCTGCTCCGCCACCGCCGAAGCGTCCATCAGCAAGTGCAGAAACCCATCACGGAAACAACTTCCGCTTCGAAGTCGCGATTCCGTCCAAGAAGTTCGATCCTAGCGCATACGTAGAGGTCCCCGATCACCCCGCTCCACAGCCAGCTACCGTCAACCCGTCCGACGTCACAAGAGTTGTCACACCGACCCAGATTGCTCTGAAGCAGGAGACGCCTACTCAACCTCAGCTCTCGGCGATACCGGCCCCCGCACAGCCTGTTCCCATTCCACCGACTCCCACGCAGCCCTTGACGCCCTCCAATACACTGGGACCAGCGGCTGCGGTTGAAGCTCAGAAGACGAAGTTTGCAATAGAATTGCCTCGCGCTCCTGGATTTAACAAGGATGAGTATCTTGAGATGGCGACCCCAGACTCTCCCGATGAGCCAACGGGTTTGTCCATGCGAAGACAAGATGGTGCTTATCAAAGCCGACAGGATGATATCAGCACCAATCTCAACCAGAAACAGCGGGCGGAAGCAGCACTGCAGGACCTTGAGAGACTAATCAAGAGCGTACTCGATGCCACTAGAAATGTGCTCGGGAACGAACCCGGTTACGAACAAGTTGCTACGCTGAACCCCGAGAATGAAGCTGTTTTGACGGGGGCCACACAGCAGAAGCTGCAGACTGCCATCCAGAAGTCCATCGAGTTGGGCAGTTACGGCGATGCGCCCATCGAGGAACTTCAGTACGTTCAGAAGCTGAGCGAACCGGGCCTGGCGCATACTCTCAATCTGGATTATCGAATTGAGGAGTCTTGGGGCGAGTCCGAAGTCTCCGGCTGGCTGAATCAGCTTCCAGAGATTGAGATGGGGCTGAAGACTGCGCGCACCTGTCTACGCATAATGTGCGGTGGCAGAGAAGAGAAGCAGATCTATTCTGAGGAGATTATTCAAAAGTCGACGGATGTCTTCAAGGGGGTTGTTGAGGGTATCGTCATCCCCGTGGTCGAGATGAGGGGCAGTGGCCCAACATCTGCTCTCTTCAAGCTGTTACAACCTCACAAAAAGGCGATTGGCCCGATTCTCACGAACTGCCAGAAGCTGTTCGCGTTGCTCGCCAAACTCGTCACAAGCATAGAACTTTCGGACACTGCTCTTGGCATGCTAGAATTCGCCGCATCAAGCCTGCTTTTCGTTGATAACGCCTATTTAGAGAAGGACTCTGTTGTTGGTGTACAGCGATTTGATGGCATTCGCCTGGTAGCAATGGAGATGCTTTGCCAGATTTTCCTCGCCAAGCCCGACCAGCGCCGTGGCATCTTTGACGATATCCTCACATCGTTGGAAAAGCTTCCGGTTGGAAAGCAAAGTGCTCGCCAATTCCGCCTATCCAATGGCGGAAGCATCCAGCCCGTATCGGCGCTGATCATGCGTCTTGTCCAGGCTAGCTCTGGCAAGGTTGACGAGAAGGGCACGCGTAGTCGCCTCGCCATGATGCAAGAGGAAGATCCGGATGAGGATGAGCTGATGACCCAACCCGGCAAACAGACGGTGGCTGCCACTATCAAGTCAGAAGATGCCGGTGCCTCACAACATGTGCTCGCCTTGGAGGAGCTCAAGGTTGTGGCCTTGCCTTTGACCGAAGGCTCGACGCATAACGCAAACTATGTTGTCAACTTCATGGTCAATCGCGCCCTCAAGTCCACAAAGTCTGGCGACACTCCATACCGCAATCTCCTCGACCTTTTCGTCGAAGACTTTACGGAGTGTCTTGACTCTCCTGACTGGCCCTCTGCTGAGCTCATTCTTCGCCAAATGACCTTTTACATGATGAAGCTCTGGGAGGGAGATAGGACCGCCGCGCCTGCCAAAAACATGGCTCTCGAACTTCTCGGCGTCATGAGCGCTGCAGTCTCCAAACTCCGTTCACATGTTCGCAAGGTCACTTATTCCATGGATGGAAGCGACTCCAATGAGTTGTCACGGTACTTGTCTGAGTTGGCAACATCTGCACTGGAGCAAAAAAGCCGAATCGAACACGATGTCTCGTGGTCAGGACCATTCCGAACAACTCTTGAACATCTCCAGCAACGGTGTGGCGATGACCCTCATTTACAAGGCGCAATTTCCTTCCTGATTGCAGACTGGGCCCAGAGGATCTTTTCCGGCTATGATGCCTTGCAGGAGACCAGCGACTCGCTGGACCACGAGTTTGGACGACTCGCCTTCCGCCTCAGGATGATGATCGAGGATCGTCGATGGCTTTCTAATGAATACACCTTCAAGGACGTCAACAACAGCCACGCAAAGCTGGCATACTCCATCATTCTCCTCCGGTCACCATTCTGCGAACACTTTAGAGCGATGCTCAACGTTCTGCTTAATGCAATGGCTAGTGACCAGGCCACCGTCCGCAGCAAGAGTCTCAAGAGTATCAACCAGCTCTTGGAGACAGATCCAGCCATCCTGGACGGAGACTCCGTAGTGGTCCATTTGATCATCAACTGCTCAAGTGACTCGTCCCCCCAAGTACGTGACTCGGCGATTGGCTTGATGGGCAAGTGCATTGGCCTACGTCCGAGACTTGAAGACAAGATGGCGGAAAGAATCATTGAGAGATTCATCGACTCCGGCATCGGTGTGAGGAAGAGAGCAATGAAACTGGCTAAAGATATTTACCTTCGCAACCAAAGCCGGGAGATTCGCAGCTCTATTGCCAATGGCTTGCTTCATCGCGTGCAAGACCCTGACGAAGGCGTTCGAGAACTTGCTCGGCAGATGATTGAGGAGGTCTGGTTCGCCCCGTTTTACCAAGTCGACGACACAGCAGCTTTCAAAACATCCCTCACCGACCACGTCGCTCTCATGATCCAGACAGTCAAGACTGGCAATGTTGGCGCAGTCCTCGACAAGGTCCTTCAGTCCATCTTAGGTGGACAGAACAAATCCCACAACGGCCCCTTCGGCGTCAGCATGAAGTTAGTTGAGAAGATGTTCGAGCTTATCGATAGTCTTGATTCCGACGATCCTAACATCCCTTCCGGAAGAGATGCATTGCAAGTACTGCAAATCTTCGCCAAGGCAGACCCCAAGCTTTTCACTTTCGAAGAGATCAGGCTGCTGAAACCCCATCTCGCTAGCATCAGTGGTGCTGATGACCTGGCCGTTTTCAAGGCTGTGACGATCATCTATCGCCAGATTTTGCCGCAGCTATCTGCCAAGTATGCTGACTTCCTACGGGAAGTGAGAGAGCAGCTTCAAAACTCCGTTGGTAGACTTAACAAGAACCTCCTGGATGACGTCGTCGCATGTCTGTGGATTATTGCTACTCTCTTGGACAACCGCGACAAGCTAGCCCATCTGGGCGCTTCTAGTTTACGAGGAGTTGCCAGCATGCGCAACACACAGATGGACGCTACCAAGCTCATGAAGTTTGCCAGATATTCGATCATTGTTGGAATGGTCGGCAAGCATTGCGATTTGGACTCCGAGCTTGCTGTGTTCCTCAAGATTTTCCCAAAGTACTCGGGCAAATCTGTGGCAAAGCTCATGGTCGACAACTTGTCACCGTGGGCAGATGCATCACAGCCCATGGAGGCTCGGAAGCACGCCCTCGACGCCATTGGCCTCATCTGCCAGGCACATCCCCGAAACTACGTTTCACCAAACGTTTACACCAAGTTCCAACAAGTTTTCGAGGCCAAGGTTCCGGCGCTCGAGAGTACTATTCTCCGGTCTTTCAAGGAGTTCCTCCTCACCGAAGAAAAACGATCCGAGGCTGCCACTGCCGCCGCCGCTGCCGGCTCCGATAATGACAAGAAGCGCGAGTTGACAGTAATGGGTGGAACGAGCTTCGACGACGTGGCGAGTGCAACTACACAGCGCTTCCTCAAGGAGGTCACTCGTATCGCTCTATCGTCGCAAGATGAGCACGCATTCCTCGCAGTAGAGGTGCTCGGTAGCATCAATCGACAAGGTCTCGTGCATCCCAAAGAAACGGGCGTGACTCTAATCACCCTCGAAACGTCATCCCTGACCAAGATATCCGAGGTGGCATTCATGGAACACCGGGCGCTCCATGAGAAACACGAGACTGTCATTGAACGCGAGTATGCCAGAGCTATCCAAGCTGCCTACGAATACCAGCGAGATATTGTGGGGGACACTCGTGGCGCAACGACGAACCCTTTCCAGTCCAAGCTTCATCTCCTGATGGAGGTACTGAAAGTGAGCAAGTCAAAGAACCGACAAAAGTTCTTAGAGAAACTCGTTGGCCAAGTTGATTTCGACTCTTCGAAGCTCGATGTCTCCAAGCAATTGCCTGCGCATGTCGAATTCTCTCGCTTCATGATCGAGAATCTTGCATTTTTCGATTATGTCACCGTGGGAGAAGTGCTAGTCACGGTACATGCGATGGAAAAGATGTTCTCGTCAACTGGATCTAGCATGGCGCACGTCATCGAATCCGAAATCTTCAATATGCGCATGGACCTGGATAAGCCGGAGGACCCGCAGGCCAATGGCGAGCCGCAACAACCCCAGCTGAATATTTCTCCCAAGAGGCTTCGCCAGCTCACTTCCGGTTCGATCATTCTTCTCTGTCTCTGGGAGGCAAGAACCTATCTTCGGCGTCTCTACGGCTTGGGAAGCAAACGCGAGACCAAGACCAAGATGGCAGCAAAAGACCTCAGCAAAGCACCTACAAAGGTGCAGGGTGTCACTGGAGACAAGTTCTGGGAGGAGGTCAACTCGCACATGAACGGTCTCGCAACACAGGAATCAACTTTGCAGAAGTGCAAGGCTTTCGTGGAACTCATGAACGTCGACAAAGAGTTCAAGGTTGTCGACGAGGATGATATGGACGGCGAGGATGCCGAAACTCCTAGTGAGGGTGAAGAGGATGGTCCTACCGGTGACGGAAGAGGCCGGAAGCGTAAGGCCGGTGCACTTCCTGGTGGCCGCAAGAAACGCGCCCGCTCCACCTCTCGACCGAGACCTCGCGGACGACCTCGCAAAAACCCGGTGGAAGTTGTCGAAGAGGATGCAGATGGCGACTTTGACGACATGGACTTTGCCTGAGTGGGCGCCCATACACGGTATTGCCACGACACTGAAGGCAGCCACCTACGCTTTTCATCGAACACTGCGAATGCGACCACTGCTATAGATCATGGGTGGCAACGAGCATGATTTTCTCTCCCATTTTACATGTACATCATCTTCGATTCGCACACATATAACGGCATCAACGGGTTTAGGAGGGGTTGCATGAAGAACGGCAAGACATTTACAGGTCGAGGCATGTTGCAAATTCTTTTGGTCTTGCCGTTCGTTCCACTACATTTGAGAGGTGTTTGGTCCACCTCAGGAGGTATGGAGAGAGGGGCGGCCGGTACTACGAACAAAAATCAGGGGCGTTTTCTTGTCTTTGACAACGAGCGGGAAATGAGAAAAAAGAATCGTGGGAGGCTCATGGGGAAAGATATCTCCCTGCGTCCTGTCCTCTATGAAGGGGGGACTTTGGGATGCCCAAGTTATTTTTTATTACTCGATTTTAGTTTTTCTGCTGCCTTTTTTACAAGATGATACCTCCCTTTCTTTCCCCCGCCTAGTCAGTTTGCGAGGGATTGCAAGTTACCTTGAGATACAGAGTCAATAAATACCAACAACCAACGAGACCTTACGTGAAGAGTGAAGTCAGTAGTCATGGTGAATGAGTTGGACTTCGGTTGTGATTGGGATTTCCAGCTGGCAGATGTTTGGTATAGTCAGTCGCTCGAAGCCATGCTTGCCTAGCCACGTCACATGAAGACTGCACGATTTCACAATGCCTTCCATGTTCACGATTGTGTGTCAAGACTTGCTAGGAAAGGGATCCATTCCCCTATTCATTCGTGTACGCTCCTAGCTAAGTAAAGGTCCCTTGACCTTGGTCAAAAGTAAAAATTCCCCTGGCATGACTACCCATCATACCTATTCCCCCGCTCTAAACAAAATGGTAAAAGACCAATCCGTCTAAAACCTATGCCTCGTTAAACGCCAAACGGAACACCCGAATGTGTTCGTTCCTTCCTATGCCGCTTATGCCAGCTGCACATCGTCGCACCCTGCCGCGCCGGTGCAGGAGCCTTTCTCGAGAAGCAATCGTGGCTTATTCGCCTGGGGTATCAACTCAGTTTATGCGTCTTTCTGTGAACCAAGGAAAAAAAATGTGGTGGTTGGTGGTGATACACGGACTAGCAGACCCATAGTGTCTGCTAGTTGTCATTACATCATGAACGCTGCAGATAGCAGCTTGTTGTTTGTAGTTGCAGGATTTCTGCTTGGTTGGTTCGGTTTGGTTCACTCTTGCTCGCTGGGGTCAACAGCCTCGAGCCAAACCCGAACAGCCTCTTTGAGAGTGCTTTCGCGGTCGCGGTCCACGGCGTGGACGGTAGCATCAGGCGTGTCGTGGTCTCGTTCCTCAATGACATCGCGAATGATCTCGTCGAGGGCGGACAAGACCACCGTCTTACATTGGTCTCGGGGCACTTCTTGAGAGGGGACTGGCATGCGGGTGGTGTGACGAGAATCCACGGAGACCGATGCTTCGCTATTGCTGCGATCTCGCCGCTTGCTCGTTGACCGGGACGAGTTTGATGAGCTCTGTTTGCTCACTTCGTTACTCTGCGCAATGACTCTCTCGACAGCGTCAATGAGAACCTCGTCGAGGCTAGCAATCGGCTCTTCGATAAACTCATCGTCCAGCTGCGTTTCGTAGGGGAGAATAGACGGCGTCATGGGAGCAGTGCCATAGGCGCTGGAACCTGCAGATCCGAGAGGTGCTGACCTGTCCGTGAATGGCTTCGGTCGAATGAGCCGGCGGTATCGAATTCGCTTGATCGTATGCGTCGTCGTATCTGCAATGAGAGCGCTGCTGACGTCAACCCATCGATCGGCAGGCTGCTCAGCAGAGTAGAAGGGCTGCGTAATGAACGGAGTCGGCTCGGCGCGCATAGACTTCTTGATGTCCTCCATGAGGGTGTCCTGAGGGGGGACCGCCTGGAGGATGAAGTCCTGATGATACCGCTGGAGGAAGCCGGCAACATTCATCGGCGAATCGCCGTCAATGGTAATGCGGGAAAACTGCTCAAAGCCTTCCAAACCATTGCCAATGCCCGGCGTTGACAGATAGCCACTACTCGACGGTGAACTGACCGCGGTTTCGAAAGACGTAATGTAGTCCGGGAAGGGAATGTCAACGTCGATTACCCCGTCCTCCGCATTGATTGATGTTTTGACTGGCGAACGGAAGTCACCACTGGGGTCAGGGACTCGCTCGGGGAAGGGAACCCTCTCAGGGGCATCTTCGACGGCCTGATCATCGAATCCACGCGGTGTTGTAGGCCCGTTGCCATTGCTCTCAGTCTTGTGAAAGCGATCGTCTGTTCGGCGATATCCTTCAGGGCCGACTTCCCGAACCATTTCTGCCAGCCTATCGCGACGTCCTCCCGGTCCTGATTTGGTAGGGGATGTAGGGTTGCTGCTGTAGGGCTGGCTAGGAGTGGTCAAGCCTGTCGAATCTCTCCTCTTTCCATTCCACAGCGTGCTAATAACACTACCCCAACGTGAGCCCGACATGCGAGAGTCAGTACTCGCCGAGCTGACGTGTCCTGAGCTTTCACCTCGCTTCAGTGTCCTTTTGAGGTCGTCCGCGGCAACACTGCCACTGCTGCCGGGTCTCAGACTTCTTCGGGTCTCGAATCTTTGGGCAGTTGCAAAGTGTGGAATAGTGGTCTCTGGGGTGATGGTGGTCGTCGTTGCTGCACTACTTTTCCGACTGACCTGGTCGTTCCCAGGAATAGGCAAATTCGATCGGATCGAGGCAGCGTCCGAGACGCGCCTCTCATGATGGCTCTCCATACTCAAGTGCGCAAGCTGAGGTGGAACACCGGAGGCTCGTGTACTTTGGCTAACAGTACGGGAATGCGATACTCTCCTTGGCCCTGTTCGTCGGTTGATCTTGCGCCGCAATGATTCTTCACGGAGAATTGGGATAATGAGCGAAGGTGGCGATTGGGAGAAAGCTCCGAAAGAGGTCGAAGTACTCGGCCGGTGAGCTCTGGCTGAAGACAGGTGCTGGTGTGATGGCAAGAAAGCAGAAAGAAGGAAGATGAGACGTCTTGCCATCATCTTGTCTGACGAAATGATGATGGTTCGTGCTGGGAGTGACAAATCATCCTCGCCTTTGGCCTTTTGTTGTTGATAGTGCTTTCGACGGTACCATGCCGGACTCATTGCGTTCAGCCAATCGGTGTGCGTGGCAAGAAAGCCAGTCAAAAGATTGAAGAAAAAGAAGCCATGTTCTTTCTCGCCAGCCTTTCTGGCCATCCACCTAGCTTCGTCCCGCCAGATACCCCATCTTCCCTGCGCTGTGATAACCCGTTGAGCGATCAAACCGGTCACAACTCGAATCCTGGCAGCATCAGCCTCCTGCATAATCGTATTGTCGTTTTGTAAGCAGTGGGGCTGTAGAGCTATGACTTTCGCATTAGTCTTGGGAGGCTTGACAAAGTGAGGTTCGTCATTTCTTCTTCCTCCCATGGATGGAGCTCTGCTGGCATACGAAGACACCGAAGGAGGATACGGGTCTGGAGATGATATGTCCGCCTGTTTTAGTAGCACACCAAGCGTGGTGGCTACTACCCCCTGGAGGTGTGTCAATGTTCGCATGATGATATCCCAGTGTTGAGTAACAGTGTCCATCCTATCGTCGACATCGGTTGAGCAACTGGAATCCATGGAGTCCATGGGGAAGTTGGATCCAGACATGGTCCAGGCTGAACGGCGGGCCGAGCTCATGGAAGACGGGAAGGAGTCTTGCTCTGTGTAGGAGCTGGCGCCACGGTAAGTTGACCTGATGGTGGAGGGGGGTACCATCTGCGCAGAACTGGGTGGAAGCTGAACCACCAGCACAACTGCGTACATTGGAGTACGCTTTTGTTTGGGTTGCAACTTCTTCTTTTTGGGGGCGGCTGCGTCTTCAGCAGACTGCGGAAAAGGGAAGCCGGTGTTGTGATCTGAAAACCGACTCAAAGGCGTGTCGCTCTGCGCCTCATCATCGCTAGGGAGCAATACGGGGAATAATCGTGTAATGAGAATCTTCCTCCTCTCAGGAAGACCCCGTGTGTTCGGCGCAGACGACGTGAAGGATTGTTGCGGTTGCAGAGGCGAAACGTTGTCCGATGTATAAGACTGTGCCAGCCTGCTAGACCGCATGCTCGATCGACCTACAGAGCCGCGGCCGTCACCAAGATAGGAGCCGCCATATTCAGGGCGATTTTCGGTAGGGACGATGTGGACCTTTGTTGAAGTGCCCTTGTAGGCCATTAATTCCGAGTTTCCAAAAACGGAGCCCGCAAAGGCATGGATCTCATCGTTGTACTCTCTTCGTGCGCGCTGGAGGTCCGTCTCAGCTTGAGATTGAGTTCGGCCTTGCATCGAGGCCCTACGATCGAACGCTCCTTGGCGGGGTTGGGGACTGTCCGGCTGAATCACCAGAGGCCGCGATGACTGGTTCAGACTGCTCTTTCGCGGCGAGGTCGGGCCTCTGTATGAGTCCTGCACAGTCCCCATACCAGTTGGCGGGCGATCTCCTGCGGTCATGGCAGGCGGTTTTGGAGGAGCTGGGTGGCTGTCGAAAAGCAGCTGTGCTGGGAAAGAGGCGACGGCATCTTGCATGATGAGCATGCGAACATGACGGGCGTCGAGATCGACGTCCCCGTCATAGTCAAAGGCGCCTGCGAGGGATGCCATAGGGAGACCGGAGCCCATGGAAAAGAGTGCCTCGTTTGGATGCTGGTACAAGGCTTCCGTGTCGGGGTACAAGAGGTTCCGGGTATGGATATCCTCCTGTCTAGATTCGAGAGACATTGGAGCCTCATTGTGGGTGATGTTGTTGTTGTTGTTGTAGTGGTTATTTGATTGTGTTGAGGCAGAAGCACCTGGAGCACTCGGCGTGCCCAAGTTGAAGAGCTTCCCTAACATCGTGAGTGAGATGTCTGGGAAACTGTCCAAGAACGAGAGACTGATGGACTCTTGTTGGTTAGAAACTGGGGGGGTGTGCCATTTTTTCAGCGAAGCACACGATTTTGATAAATCAGATGGAAAAGCATTGCTTCTGACAGGAATTCCATGTGATTGAGGGTGAGCAACGCGATGAACCGTGATGGTGGAGGGTGAGGCTCAATCGAAGGTCGGCATATGGTGGTTAGAGGCGGGCTGAGACCAACAGAGTTGAGGGGTGCACAGGAGTTGGAGAGGCCTAGCCGTGGGCCGAAGTTTAATGGCGATGAGTCGACGGCGTTCGCTCAAGGTTGAGCAAATCGGAAGTGGCTCAAGTGTTGCGGTAGCGAGATACGATGCAGGCTCTCTGTGTCTATGAGACGCACGCACGCGAGCAGAATTGGAGTCTTTTTTTTTTTTGTTTTTTTTTGTTTTTTTTTCGGGGGGGGGTTGATGGTTGTCGAGGAATGATGGCGCGAAGGTGGGTAGTTGGCGGCGCAAAGACGCGATAGAAAGTCGGGATGTGATAAAAGTTGCGTCGAAGGCGGAAGGAGAGGAGTGTGTGACGCAGTTGAATGTGACGCAGTCAAAGAGAACCAGATAGTCGGGACAAAGGCGGCGACGATTGCAGTGGCGGATCAAGATGGGCCGGGGGGGGGGGGGGGTTGGTTTGAGAGTTCGGTATCTGGGGTGAGCAGTGCCGACTGCAGGTGGTCTCGTACTTTGGCGAAGAGCAACGAAGGCGACAGAAGGGATCTGTAATACTGGTTGTATGGGCCCTGTATTCGTCGGACGCGGGGCAGCGAGAGTGTGTTGTGGCAACACTTCAGACGTGCAGTGCAGTTGAGTATAGGACTGGTGGAAGCGTGGGAGCGAGGAGGGTGATGATATTTGGATTGGACGGAATAGTGTCGGGATTGTCGTGGAAGTCGGAAAGTGGACGAGGTCGGTATGAAGTAATGCGAAGGAAGGGTTGTGTAAGGTACTTGAGGTGTGTACTTGTGGTAATTAGCGTTGGAGGATTGGCAGTGTCGGAGGCGGGCGGAATGTCGATTTCAGTTGTGTGGTGTCCGACGTCGTAAAGAGAGAGGGCGGGTTTAGCTTGGCGGGGATTAGGTGATGTGTCGAGGATGGGAAAACCTGGTCAACAGGCAGAAGAAACGAAGACAGGCCGCAAGCCGCAAGTGCAAGCGGTATGTCGCGAAAGACTCGAGAGAGGGTGGAAGGGATAGGCCGAGGGCGGGTGAAGAGCGAGTTGCTCCGTTTTGCGTTGTGGTGGTGGTGGTGGTGGTGGTATTGGTTGTTGGTAGGTACTTGGATGGTGGTGGTGGTGGTGAGGGCGGCGAGGATGAGGGTGCGGGAGAGGGTGGTAAGGTTTCCGGAATCTCAGCGTCGGTACCTCACGGCAGAGAGATTGACATGGACATGGACATGGACATGGTCCGGGAATTGGGGGTGTGTGGTCAGGTAAATGGTGCAGCGTCCATGGTGTTTGCGCGGAGGAGGGACTCGAGCGTTGTCGATGGTGTTTTGGCAGACGGGAAGGGAGAAGAAGATGCAGAAGCACAAGCACAAGCAACAACCTGAAGAGAGAGAGGAGGAGGAGAGGCGGGCACATGGCACTGGGCAGAAAGGGACGGAAGTGCCGCAATCGTGGGTGGAGCGGGCAGCTGTGGGGTACGTACTCGTTGGAGTATGTATCTCTAAAGGCATTCGTCTTCTTGACTCTTCACGGTTCATCCCCGACTCCCGCTCCACGCCACGCTCACGACGCCCACAACGACGGCCCAACGACTGGGACCTTTTGATGTGGATTGTGGATTATCTTGGTCGGTGGAGCTGATATGGAGCACTGGATCGTGCTCTTCTTACTCTCCCATCTGGAACCCTGCAACTAGTAGCTTTTGGATTACTACGCAGTGGCTAACCGTGCCTTATGTAAGTGAGGTAAGTGGAGGATACCTTGGGTCAAGTAAGTAAGGTATCTATCAGACTAGGAATACGTACTCGTTGAAGTCGACTCCTTCCGCCTCGTCGTCACTTGCCTCGCCATCTTTCCTTCCAGGAGTATCTCGTTCTTTCCATCCTTACATTGACTCTAAACTTCTGACTTCCTTCCTCCCCTCGCAGTTGTCATTCGGAGAAACTTGGAAAGAGGCATGTAAGTAATGTGGCACGGCGGGTACGTACTAACTCGCCCATCCCGAGAATACCTTGCCTTGCACTAGACACCTGCCGTAGTACCTAGGTAATGGAGGTACCTGACCTTGCCCTTCTTGTGTACCTTAGCTCGAGGCACATTTCGAACGGCGAGATGATGGCATGTCTGACTTCTGACTCTGTCAGGCTTGGTCAGCGGCTATGGCAACGGCAACGGCAACGGCAACGGCAACGGCAACGGCTGCGGCGGCGGCAGCCACATCATCTCATGTCTTCCCACCAACCTCATCCTGCATCACTACCTAGTATACATGGCTGTAGTTGGACGGTTGGAATCTTGATGATCACCATCTCTTTCCGCCTCCATCTTGCAGACTCGCAGTGTCTATTCCCGAGGGCTGATACGAGCAGCGGCAGCAAGACATAGCAACATGGGGGAAACTACCTTACCTAGTCGCCTAGTCTAAGATACATCGAGGTAGGGGGGCAAAAAGAGGATGCCCTGCCGCCTGCCGACGCTGTGTAATTGGGCTCTCGATGTATCTCCAAAAATGCGGTGAACAAAACAGCCCTTGCTCTGCCGTGCATCGACTGCATCAAACCCGCCTGCCCACCCACACTGCGTCCGTCCACTGCATCCAGTAGCAAGTGCTGTCCGAGGTACGTATCTTTTATACAGGCCACTTGCGCCTGTTGCCTCGTCCGCTACTGCGTCTCTGCTCTAGCGCCGCGTCTACTTGACGTCTCTCTGCCCCTCTAAAAATGGGTAGTATCTGGGCAAGGCAGTGGGCTCTGGAGGCGAACTAGAAGATCATACTTGTAGATCATGGTGCCCGCTGTTGAGAATAAGACAAGATTGGAACGGGCAGTTATCATGAACTGTCAGTGTACCTAGATAGTGTGAGAACACAGAGCTGAGACTATAAAAAGAAAAACAAAAGACGAAAGAAGGGAAAAAGAAAAAGGAAAGGTGTAACGAGCCGGGGTAGACCCGGCGGAGGAATGGTCCCCTTAGGTAATGTCTCAAACGACTCAATCCAAATCGGCGAATCTCAAGTCTCCTGCCATTAATTCCCTAGACTCAATTTCTCAAAGGTAGAAGCTAGCTCGACCACTCTGGACAACAGCGGGGTAATTAGCCTCCATTTTGACACTCACACCCCATGTTCCCATGTTTTGTGACTCGAGGACCTTGAATTTGGGGCGAACTGGTGTCTCGTGATCTCTCTTCCCTCCTCTTATCCATATCCTTCCTCTCTTATTAGGTACACTCATCCCTAGGATACCGCGATACTCTCACCATACCGATTCTAGGTATCCAAAACAACAACAGGCGGTGTCCATCACAGCACACAAGTGGCAATATGCCTTGTCCATGCTGCTACTCCATGTCTATTTGTCGTGCCAATTACCAACTTACCAATGACTCAAGAGAGTAGGTGCCGTCCCGCTCAAGTGGTAAATTGCATCGAGCATCCCGGGTCACGGGTGGTCTAAAACCCCCAAACATCTTCAGCCGTGCCCGCCGTCATCCAATCCGCTGCCTTCTAATTCCGTCCCCATGCGACCCCTTCCTTCCTTCCTCCGAGTTTCCATCGTCATCCGGAACTCCTTCTCTAGGTTGTCCTCCAGGTAAGAATACGTACCACTGAATGCCTCCAACCCTGAATATCCCATGTCCCGGCTTTCTCCTTCTCTTGCGCACCAGTCTTTTCCTCTCTGCCTCGTCAGCCCTGTCTGTTTCCATCGACTACCCCTTGCATGAATCCCACCTCGAGGTTTCACTCTCGCCAATAGTTACCTTGCAACAAGAGCATCATTGGCGACGCTGCGCTCCAAGACGACGACGACAACGACAACGACTGCTGACCGTAACTCCTCGGACCAGCACCGGCCTTCATCCGTCCCTGGCTCCAGGTTATCCGGTAAGGCCTCGACGTTGGTGTCAATCAACTTGGATCACGTTGAGCTATTTCCGCTTGTCTTTCTCTTGCGCCCGTCGTCTTGTCCGTGCCTCTTCCCCTGGTCTTTTGAGGCCACCGAAGGAGGATTCATCATCTATTTCCACTACTCCGTACTCAGTCCAACCTCAAACATACGCAACCAAGTTCAGCTACACTTGGGCGCCGACAAGTCAAAGAGATGGACTCCTTGCCATTACTCGTCTCACAAACTCCGTACGACTGTAAGAGTTCACAGGAACAAGGGCATAGAGTCTTACCTGCAACCCCAGGCCACTCTGCGATTCCATAGCAGCACTCACTCGCCAGCATCTCGTTCTCGGAGCCGACCCCGACGGACCTCGTTGATCCTCCATCTCTGCGCTCACGCCTCCCTGGCAACGAGGCGTAAATCTTCTGCCTGCCTGTCACTTCCCTACCCACTCTGAACAGTCAACAGCCAACGAGACCTAGCATACCCCTGCGGAGTCGATAGATATTCCCCAAATTACATCAGTCGCTGGCAAAGGGTCATGTTACCGACTAATGACTGTTCGTCTTGTCCTTGTCTGCCCGCCACCGCCCCGTTCATCACTCGCTATTACTCCAGCTCAACAGTTGTCATCTCTCACCCCGCCGTGGCCAGCCCCTCCAAGGCCACAGAAAACAACGCTCACGGGTCCGAACAAGCCCAGAAATGGAGGGGCACGAGGGGAAGCGATGCAAGTCAACGCCGACCATGTTGCTGTTCGACATGACTGCAGCGTGGAGCAGCACCGCAAGTGCCAGATAGAGGTGGAATCCCGTCGTGCTGGTTGAGAGTGGCTCGATCTGGGGCGGACGACCGAGCGTCTGGCGGATAAGAACCACTCGCCAGGTTACAATGACAGCGCACTGCGCGAAGCTCCAGTCTCCAGTCACTCAGCGAGATTACAATCCTCGGTGAGAGACCGACACCTTGGAGTTCGAATCACCGGTCCAACACTCTCCAACAAGACTCCAGGATATACCAAGGTATCTTCTCCAAAGGGCATGTACTTCTCTACGACAGGCATCATCTTCCGGCGTAACGCTGCGACAAGCCATCAACACAGGGGCTGTCACTCGCACCGTCATCCCGACAAACTCACCATGTCTTTTTACCCGGCCCCCGTTTACCATATTGCCTCGGTCGCCCAACCATTATCCGATCAAGCTTTCCCATGCTCGCTGTTGTCGACGGGTCGAGGACCTCGGTGCGTCCAGCAGCGTAATTGCACGTCCCTTTCCCGACACGCGACCGCTTCACCGACCTTCCCTCACTGCTACTCACAGACCATCGACCCAACGTTGTCCAAACTCAGCAGGGTATATGCCTTCTGTCCGGCTTCCGGAACCGGAACCGGAACCGGAACCTAGAATACCTGTCAGTCACGGCCATCCCCGGGAACTTCTTTTGGTCAGTGTCGTGGTCAATGTGACCATTGTTGATCGGTATTCTCAAAGAGACCATCTACCACGGAAACGCGTTGTCTACGTCTTGAGTCACACACCAGGTGACACCAGAAAGCCCGCCCGGTACTCCGTACACGTAGTGGTCTCGAGTAGCACCGCCACGGCGATGTATCGGGACCGACCCCTACGAATAGAGGCGCCGCCTCCCACGCGCCAGTGCCAAGTCGAAATGCAGCACAAGCTGCAGATGAGACACATACACGTAGGGCAGCTGCAAGCTAACAGCTGCGTCTCCCACGGCAACTTGGCGTAGATGTCCTAGTCGCCATGTGTTCGCTTGAAATTCAACTGCCAGCAGTCTGTTGTTGAACAGCGTCATAACCACGGATCGCGCTCTAGGTCGCACCGTCGCACACCTATTCTTGTTAGCCTCAAACCACACCTCCAACCGCGACGCGAGGCGCACATCGAACCGAGCTTCTCCCCTACGACTTGATATGGAGTTATGGAATTGGTTATGGACACACGCACCGCCCCGCCGGGCAGCAGACATCCTCGCTAAATCCATCCATCTTGACACACATCGGCCCTTTCCAGAGGTTCGTTGCTTGTGGTTGCTCTTAGCCAAGCGAAACGGTTTATCTGCGCCAATCAAGGGCCCGCCGATCAGGTCGCGGTGCTGGATACACCTTCCACGATAGGCACTCGATCATGCACCCCGGCGCGGTCCCGCGCGATGCTCCTGATCAACACCTTTAACGAGGCACAAGTTATATATCCTCGACAGACAAGTCCTCTCAGGGGGCTGCCTATCCCAGGGGCCGCTTCAAAGTTCAGCCCAATTCCCAGGCTCCTGGAGTCCTGGGGCATTCGCTGCCCAGCAAAGCAAGCCGCAAACGTGCCGTCGCAAAAAGTGTCCCAACGCACGGGACACCGGGGGTCGTATGTGGTCTTCCGTCGCCGGCCGGTTTGTCCTTGCAAGACGCTCATTAACAGAGCAAGCCTCACCTTGGCTTCTCGACTAGGTCATGCTATGGTCCTGCTGCCTTGGTTGCTTCCTCTCATCTCCCGGACAAGCCGCAAATGTCAACGGGATCCGGAAGCATCCACGCGGCGAAGCGGGCGTTCTCGCGCAAAGTCTAGCTGCAACCTGCCTCACCGATATCCAACACCAAGGCCGCGAAGCTACACCACAAACTTTCGTGATCAATAAGGCCGCGGTATGATCTCATTTTCCAACATCCTAGGGAATAAGCTATCAGTTATTGGCCACCCAAGCCCGGCAAAGAGGCAGCGGTGTGGCCAATGCCGGGGTAAAGGGAAACCCCTATCGTTCGGTCCATTCACCATCCTAATTCTCAGACATGGCCATGCGACTGAGCACACCCGGCGGAACGGTTCCCCGTATTCACCATCCCAGTGACATCAGCCGTGAAATGATCTTCCCCCGTTCGGGTTTTTGTCGATTTACGTCCGTTGCTGTCGTCGGCCCTATTTCACCGAGGTCAGCCGTTCCTCCAGGCTTGTCGCAACTCGCAACTTATCCAGAAAAGCCGGTGAATTTACTCGAAATCCCGCAGATTGGAACAGAAGTTGGGTTGTACCTAATTACGATGTATCTTTGTAGTATCGCAGAGGGTTTGCCACACCTACCAGCAAGATCCGACCATCGTCCCGTGTCTCAACGCTTAATGGTTTGTCCCTGATAATTCCGATGGTTTCTCCAACCTTGCCAATTTGGAGACCGACGGTCAGCTCCCACCATCCTTCCTGCTTACCCATATTATTGACCGACTCATTTGTCCCGTCCGTCCAGTCCGCGGGCCGGGCCAGCCCGGCTTACACACGGCGGTGATGGCGACAATCTTTCTCAAAGTGGCATGTCGGTTACATGTCTAGCGATGTCAGCAGTCATGGGTCATAGTAGCGTTCCCGACGGTTATGACAAGTTACAACGGCTTTTGGAGCTAATATCTCTCGCGCTCACGCAAGTATGAAGCACGACCGTGATCGGGACGAATGCAACTAATAGTCAACGTCTGCATGCCGAGGACTAGCGCTGCCGAACGGCTGATAGGGCCACTCATGTTGTTGCCTTCTGTCGCACTCTCGGTTCCTTCGGGGTGACCAGAGGAAACAGACCGATCAACTAATATTTGACTCATAGTAGTCGGAAGATACAAATCAGATGTCAGCATCGGATTGTCCCGTTGCAGTACACGGCCCGGGGCGCGGCGCCATAGCTCGAAGCCGATGTGAGGGTGCGGAACACACCGTTACCTACCTTTGCTGACATGCTATGATCTCGGTTCCTAATCACTTACACAGCCCACGGCAACCGAGGACACCTCGAAGACACCTCGGATCCTTGGGATCGCATTGTTCCAAGGAACCATTGCCGCTAAGGCGATCTCGGTTGCATTTCTGCAGTTTGGAAAATCCCAAATATTCTGCAACGTTTCCCTTCTCTCGAGTCTGGATCATGGATGCAATCATGCATCCCACTTTTCGGCAGATTTGTTGGTTCCTCCCCCCACGCCATTTCGGGGGCGTCCGAGGGGCGGGTTTCCCGTTCCCCGCAGAGGAGACCAGGCTTACCGCTTACCACGGTATCGGGACGGCGATATCAAATAAATCTCCATAAGGTAGTGGGAAAGATAGCGCTAGCGATGAGGCGATAGCGATGCGGAATGGCGATGACCAATGTGTTTTTGGTGCGGTTGTTTATCGAGGTTGACCATCCCCACGCCGCCCTAGGTGAGATGCTGTGTGTGGTGGGTGGCGTAGTTTAGGTGATGTGTAGATGATTTGTCCTCCCTCTTCAGCTCAGCTTGGTGTATTTTGAAACTTTGATAAGATACTCTGTGGGATTATGGAAGCTGGATGGGCTGTCTTTCTGCGGTCGTAGATTTAGGGGAGCTGAGTGAAGCACTCCCGCGCAGAAGGCGTAGCTTTTCTCTCTGTGCCGTTTACTATTGCTACCCTGCTCTTACAAGTCTCCGTCTTCCAAGTCTTGTGACTCGTCCCCTGCCCCCCAGGCAATTACCAATCATTTGGTGAGAAACTATGTTGATGAAGCTTATTCTTTTTGCTCGGAGTGACTGGATGACGAGCGAGTCGGACGGATTATTCTAGTCCCCCCCCTGCGAGGCAGAGAGGCGGCACGGAGGACGATGTGACCTGCCCCAAGGGACGTGGTCGTATTGATTCTTCGGCAGTGAGATGGATTGATTTGATTTGATTTGGGGCAAGGTCCAAATGAGGCTGTGCCAAGGCTTTGGAGATGGAATATGAGGCGGCAAGGGCTGTTTTATCTCACATCATCTTAGGGTTTGGGTATTCTGATATGACGATGACATTTCTACTTTTCCGTTGTACATCGGAGGGAGGTAAGGTTGTGAGGTTGTGAGGTTGTACGCATGTAGGCAGCAGTCTTACTTTCAAGCGCGTGTGTATTGATTCCTAGACTACAGTCCCATGGGTATGAGAGGATTGGCTGAGGCGCTTCGACAAGCCTTGTAAGCTTTGTGCGAGTTCGCGGCGAGAAGAATTCCCGACCAGAGGGGAAGAGGACTTGTATGAAATCACATGCTTGATGTTAGGTACAATGCTTTTCATTGGTGATTGTAGAATCTAAGCCGACGAGAACTCTCAGAAGAGGATAGATGACTGCTGAACACTCCAGCTCACCCTCTCATGGCTCAAACACCATTACATTGGCCGTAGGAAGCTACATGTACCATTATCTGATGCGCGTCAAGCAACCTTCAATTCTTGTGGGACTTCTTGGTGTGACTGTCGATGTGTAGTGGTAGGCTGCAGCGCGACGGAGCGGATTCCGTATTGTTGTAACCTTGCGACGATGGCGTCGGCTGTAGATGCAAAGTTGTCGATGCTGTCTCCCGTTATGGTTATGTGTGCGGTCGCGAGGGTTGTTGTCTGATCGAGTTGCCAGACAAGCAGGTCCTTAATATCTAGCACGCCAGGAACCTAAATAACACAAACTTGAGTCAACTTTTGAACATAATCTAACACGGAGCCTCACTCTTTTTTCTCTTCTGTCTTACCTCTAGTATCTCCCCCCGAACGAAGTTAACATCAACGCCCGCGGGCGCGCTCTCCATCAAGACCTCCCCCGCGCGCCGGCAGAGGGGCCAGGCGGAGAGCATGATTGTCAGGGCGATGAAAACGCCGACGCCTGGGTCGGCGTAGAAGCGGGCGTTGGAAGAGGATTTCCAGATGATGAGGGCGGCGACGATGACGGAGAGGTTGTTGAGGGCGTCGGTTAGGACGTGGAGGAGGACGCCTAGCATGTTGAGGTCGCGGGGGCGGGTGTGGTGGTGCTTGGCGGATGGTAGAGATGGCTTGGGTTCTGGGTTTGAGGATGTGTTTGGATCGGATGGAGGCGGTGGTGAGTGTGAGGGGGGTTCTCTGGATTCTTCGTCGGGGTGTCTTTCTTGGATATGTTCATGATGGTGGGTTTCTGTGTTTTTGGGGTTAGATTCGTTGCACATGGCTTGATTGGAGATCTTGCTCACCGTGGAGGAAACTTAGGACTATGACGTTGAGCCCGAGGCCGATGCAGCCCATGATTAGAACCAACACTGGATCTTCGACATCTAAGGCATAGTTGAGTACTTCGGCGCAAACTTAGTCCAAGAACGACCAGTATGGAGGGGGCTCACGTGGAAGTTGTGTGAATCTCTCAAAGGCTTGAAGGAGGATGCTGACGCCCAGCGCGAGTAGGAATACGCCGTTGAAGAAGGCGCCTAGGATTTGGGCACGTTTCCAGCCAAAGGTTAGGGATTTAGGTGGAGGGGATCTCCTTTCCGAGACCTTTCCGGCATGTGAGTCTTCAGTTCATGTTGTGGGTTTAAGCAGGGAGGACTTACAATCACTGCTATCAAGGCAACGGCGAACCCTATCAGGTCATTCATCTAGATAGCTTGTTAGATGCACTGCCTTCATATATAGGCACAGAAGAGGGTTGGCTATAACTAAGTGCCTTACATAGTGAAAGGCGTCTGCTATGAGAGCGAGGGACTTTGTGCGGTATCCGATGACTAGCTCTGCGATGAAGAAGCCGCCGGAAATTGCGATTGTGGCAACTAGACGCTGCTTTTTGTTGATCTTGAACCGAGCCATGTCGTCGGGCATTGAGCGTCAACCGGAAGTACCGTAAAATATTATGATCCCTTTGCGCTCTGGTCGTTTTGAGAAAAGCCATGAACGAGACAGCGACGAGAATGTTTCCACGGGCTTTTGTCACAATATCAACGGTCGTACAACCTTTGAGAAACAACGGATGAGAGCCTCGTACAGCCGGGTCATGTTCCCGATCTTTGTCAAGACTCGGGACACACAGACATGAGACAAGATGTGCCCGTCCCGGGCCGGGTTGGCACATACACGTGGGAAGGCAGAGGGAGCACGGAAGTTGTTTCTGTTCTGTAAACAAAGTTTGGGGCTGATGGCTCGTAGGTTCTGGGCATTACGCAGCTCGCTCACTCGTCCTAGATCTATGACACAGGCACACATAGGTATATTCCCTCTTTTGAACAGTGGTCGAGAGAGACTGAGGATTGATTGTTGCTCAGATGACACTAGTTCGGGTAACCGCGTCAGTATGTGCGGCATGTTTACTTGGCGGGGACGGCAGGGTGGTAAAGTGTTTGCTTTAGTTTTAGTTGAAGGTGTCACGAGTTGGTTGACCATCGTTCATAGTGTACGGACTTCATTGGACACCTGGATGGTGTCGAGTTGACGTGGCTGGTTGCTTTGGTACGAGAGCTTGTGGTGGTGAACCGAAACGAGGTTCCCATTGTCAAGAGTTGCGAAGGAACGAGACCACAGAAATCAGAGTTGGGAACCCACCTGGAAGCAATTCCTCGTTGCTTTGACTTCCACTGAGAGATATTTCAATTTCAAGTCTCTAGTGAGCATTGTCGGAGCAATTGACGTCTGCTTCAATGAGAGGATCGGAGACATCAAGTTGGAATTGAAACAGAAACGAGCCCCCGTCAAAAGGAATGCGTTTTGCAGTGCGACTAACACGATGACAGGTTCCGAGTCTCACATTGGATGCGCTCAATTGAGACCAGGTGAGACCCTGGGAGATGCGAACGTCTACAACCTGGGGATAATGTAGGCTAAAACGGTAGGCGGTGTGGCTTAGCGGAAGCTCGGCGCCACAATTCTGCCGTCGCGACGGAGCTGCACTTTGTGACGATGCCACTACGGACTGCCAAGGAGCTTCAACTACAGCCGATTGAAGCCATTCGCAAGGTTCACAATCCCCTAACCACCGAAGCATACACAGAGATTCGGTAGAATTGAACGACAGCAACGAAATGCTACTGCGAACCCTCCACACAGGCCCCCGTTGACGAGCCCCTCCCTCGTGGCGCAACAAGCAGCCCTCCTCCTCCCCCACTAATACCATCATCACGACGCCGCTCTCTACCCACGATGCCTCGCAATGCCGGCGCGGTACCGTCCTTGCGCAAGGGGCCCAACTGGTCTTCTCACCTACGCCAGTTCAGCCGAAGCAGCCTCGAACCGCCCTCCGCGACATCGTCCGTCGGCTCGCCCCGATCCCCCGATACCGTCTCCAGTGCCTCGACCATCCGCGGCGACAACTCGTCCAGCTCCGTGAAGCAGCGCCGCCTCGAGCGGAGGTGCACCGTCGGCGTCAACGAGGGGTACTCGCGCGACGAGGTGCTCCTGAGCCCGGAGGTGATCAAGGGCGATGTCAGACCCGGGAGCCTCGTGGCCATCACCGTCATTAAGACCGAGGGCGATAAGACTGCGATAAAGGACCATGCGACGACGCGCGGCGGGAACGCTGCGAACAACACTGGCGCGGGAGCGGGACAGGGCGATGCGGCGCCTGAGGGGGCGACGCTGGGGAAAAAATACTTTTGCGTCGCCAAGGAGATGTCCAAGGAGCTCAAGAGCCGACTGCCCAATGTCGACATATATGTCGTCAAGCATATCGCAGACGCCTTTGGGATGAAGAAGGGTACGCAGGTACTCTTGACGCCTGTGGATGCTGATAACCCCGCGACGGCGGCCTCACACGTCGAGCTCTCGTTCAAGGATCAGTACCTGTCGCGATCAGACATGTGGCGCCTGGCTATCGGCGAGCTCACGGAAAGGACGGTCTACAAGGGCCAGTCGATATTATTCATGGGCACGATAAAAGCGCAGGTCACGGCGGTATTCGTGGACGGGCGAAAGATACACTCGGCCTTCTTCACAAGGAATACGAGGCCGATTTTCCGGAGCGAGTCGGCGAGGTACGTGCTGTTCATACAGATGGCGCGGGAGATGTGGGATTTCGATTCGGAAGGATCCGGCGAGATCCTCTTTAACAAAGTCGTCAACGGCTTCTTGCCGGCGCTGTTCAAGAAATGGGCCAAGCTCAAGGCCAAGCACCTCGTGAGCATCGTGCTCTTCGCGAGGGTGGAATACGACACGGGCTTGACGACGGAGCTCGCGAGTAGCACGCTGCATGGGGACTATTACACTGGCGTGCAAATATCAGGCGATCGTAGGCCCTACAAAGACTTTTACCGTGTCGTCGTCAGCGAGATGGCGAGCGGGGAGTGGACGACGATCCTCAACCAGCTGAAGCGCGAGTTCAACTTCTTCCGGCGGGATATCAGCCTGCATCACCAAAAGGCCAACAGCGCATTCGTGCCACTTGCCGAGGAGAACGGCGGCAAGGGCATCGCGTCCAACCGGGTCAAAGCCGAGTCTTCGCTGGCCATGTATGGTAACTTCCTCGAGGCCATCAACCTCGCCTCATCCCAGTTCGCGCATGACTACGTTGACCGCGACCTCATGCGGACGGGTATCTCCATCGTCGTCATCAGCCCCGGTCCCGGCGTCTTCGAGGTCGAATACGAGTCTCTGCGCCGGACCACCGAGGCCCTCGTCGGAAACGGCATCGGCATCGACCTCATCTGCGTGCCAAAGATGCCGCTTCACTCCGTCCCGCTATTCCGCTACCGCAACCCGCAGACCTCGGAGGGTTCCCACGGCCTATCGAGATCGAGGTCCGTACGCAGCCGCGAGAGCACGCCGAAGCAGCAGGCCACGCCCATCATCGGCAGCTACCAGTCGCTGTCCGAGTCGTTGTCACCGACAAAGGGCCTGGAGCTCGCCCACCGCATCGACAAGCTTGCGAACCCGCAGGACGAGTGGTCGTACGCGGTGCCCCAATGGCTGCACGTCTCCTACTGGACCGGGACATCCGAAGAGGCGCTGTCGTATCAAGGCATCGCGCTCTCGGTGTCCGAGAACAAGGAGGGCCAGGAGAGTGAAGGCTTTGCGATCCGCGCGAGGATGTACGATCTGCAGATGCGCAGCGTCTTAGAGACGAACGAGATCGAGACGACACCGCTGCAGGCTGACCCTCTGTTCCCCGTGACGACGACTGAGTCTAAGAGCTCGCTGCGATCGCGGCTCAGCGGCACGGACGAGATCGCCATGATACCCCTGAAGCGCCACCAGGACACGCTCGTGGACCACGTCTACGGGTTCCAAAAGTTCATGCCTGACAGGCTCGTAAAGCCGGGCGAGAAATCGCTGTGGAAGCAGCTGCAGGAGTACGACGAGACGAGGGCGAGATTGCCGAGATCGCGGCGCCCGGCGCGGGCGAGAGCGTCACGGGACCTAGAGGAGACGACGAGGCGGCAGCTGATGGAGGACGCGGGGCTCTTTGGGACGTCATTGCCCGAGAAGAAGATCGTGCCGAACCAAAGCCTTGCGGCAGTCACAGCGGGGCGCAAGTTGTCGGTCAATATTGTCGATAGCGAAAAAGCGGAGATTGTGGCCGCTGCGAGGAAGGCTGCGAATCATCCTCCGGCGGCACCATCGGCGGGAGCGGCGGGGATGTCGTCTAATCAGACGTCATCTTCTACTTCTTCATCAACGACCCCTGATTCTCACAGCGTGGTGGGTAAGATGTCTGTAGCATCGCCGTCCAAGCCTCCCAGGTTTATGCGGCAGATCAGCCTCGGCCTGCGGGGCTTCGGCATCGCGGCGCCCAAGGTGGTAGCAGCGGAGGCGAGCTTCGAGACGGTCAAGGCATCGACGGAGCAGAGCGTGACGAGCCCTACGATGCCGCTGGTCATGTCGACAATGCCACGCCCGTCATCGCCGCAGGTCATCAAGCCGACGACGTCGATGTCCTCGTTCTCACCGCAGCTGTTCCGGTCGGATTCGCGGGATACCCTCAAGGATCTGGGCTCGACGCCGAGTATACCCATCAACATGAAGTCCTCCTCGCGCAGGGGGGAGAGCTCGATCGGCCAGCAGCATAGGTACGGGACCGTCCTGCCGTCGTCGCTGGCGCGCAAGGACCATTTCCGGGAAGACCCCGACCAGAGGAACTCTCACGTGTTCAGGGCAGAGGAAGATAATCAGAAAATGTTCAATAGTAAGCTGCGCGCTGGTGCTATGCCCGAGCTGCCGTCTACGTTGTCGCCGACCACGGCCATCTCGCCTTGGCTTACGGTGCTGAACCCGTCGAACCCGGACAGGAACAAGGTGGATGACACGGTGCTCTATAGCCGGTGGCAGCATGTGTTCCCTCGGACTTCGGAGATGAAGGTCATGAAGTGGAAGGCTCTGTGCTGTCCGGCTGCCGTGCCGCTCACGACCGAGTACTTTCCTTCAAAATCACAGTTTGACACGGAGTATCAGAGGCAGCCGTATGTCATTGCGCAGAACGCCGACGACGAGCTTACGGAGGAGCCGAAATCAAGGGAGGAGTTCTTACGTGAACTGATCAGCCTCCGTTTCTCGCAAGGGTTCCAAGTGGTCATTGGTCCATCTGTTGCCAAGGCGTTTGGGCAGAAGACGCTGCGGATCGCCGACATCTTCTCCCGCGACCAGGCGATGGAGGACGGCACAAGCATCTTCTTGTCGGTGGGCAACACGATACACCAACTTTCGTGTGTTAATGGCACGGAGGTGGAGGTGAATATCTACATACGCAAACCGGCTGAGCTAACGGTTGGAAACTCCAACTCCGGCCCGCTGTACAGGCCGGCGATTCGCACGTTGATGGAAAGCGGTTATCGGACGCAGGAGGTTGACATCTCGACTCCGAAACCCGAGAGGAACTGGAACTACAT